CTGCGGTGATTCACTTAACAACTGTGGCAAGAAAGGTCATAAAATGGGACAAAACTCATTTAACAAATGCCTCAGTTAGAAACTTAAATTCTGGGCTCAATTGTGGTCATAAGTTGAGGACTACCTGTATAGTGCCAAGGTAAATCTCTGCCCTAACCTTAAACTCAGAATTGTTCTTTTGTCAGCATATTTCTTAAAAAAAAAATAAAAAATTCCACAGCCTCCCATTCTTGGCTGATGCCCCTTATTTTATATATTCAGGCCCCCAATTGCATGTTTTTGTTCCAATTTGTTCCACATAGAGAAGAAAAATGATTGCCCGAAGCCATTCAGAGGCCTTTGGCTTTGAGCAGTATCAAAATACAGGATATGGCGGTTGTTTTTTAAGGGGAAAATAGGAACGAAGAAATGAAAATAAAGAAGTCTTGAACGGAGCTTACAAGAGGGAAATTCAGAAATCCCAGCAAAGGGGAACGGATTGGAAGGCGATACTTAAAGCTCCTGGGCCCTTTCTGGAAATGCAAAACAGATTTGGGGTAGCTTTAATTGGGCTTTTTATCTCGTACAGGTAGTCCTAGACTTACGACTGCAATTAAGCCCAACGTTTCTGAAGTGAAGTGAGGCATTTTTAAAGTGAGTTTTGCCCCCATTTTACGACCTTTCTTGCCGAAGGTTGTTGAGTGAATCACTGCAGGTTTGTTAAGTTAGTAACATGTTGCACAATCTCCATTCCCTCCCCACTCCTGGGGGATGGATACTGCAAAATCTCCATTCCCTCCCCACTCCTGGTAAAAGGATACTGCAAAATCTCCCTTCCCATCCCACTCCTCGGGGAAGGATACTGCAAAATCTCCATTCCCACCCCACTCCTGGGACAAGGATACTGCACAATCTCCATTCCCACCTCACTCCTGGGGGAAGGATACTCCACAATCTCCATTCCCACCCCACTCCTGGGGGAAGGATACTGCACAATCTCCACCCCACTCCTGTAGAAGGATACTGCAAATCTCCATTCCCATCCCACTCCTGGAAGATACTGCAAATCTCCATTCCCTCCCCACTCTTGGTAAAGGATACTGCAAAATCTCCATTCCCATCCCACTCCTGGGGAAGGATACTGCAAAATCTCCATTCCCACCCCACTCCTGGGGGAAGGATACTGCACAATCTCCACTCCCACCCCACTCCTGGGGGAAGGATACTGCAAAATCTCCATCCCCACCCCACTCCTGGGGCAAGGATACTGCACAATCTCCACTCCCACCCCACTCCTGGTAGGATACTGCAAAATCTCCATTCCCACCCTACTCCTGGGGGAAGGATACTGCACAATCCCCATTCCCTCCCCATTCCTGGGGGAAGGATATTGCAAAATCTCCATTCCCACCCCACTCTGGGGCCAGCCAGAGGTGGTATTTGCCCTCCCCTTTTTCCTTTTACCTAGAGGTAAAAGGGAAAAAGTGAGATTATTATAAAAATGTACACAAATGATGAAAAAGAAATAAATATTAATCAAATAAGAAATTGAAATGAGAATAGAGGTAAATAGAAAATCGGGGCTGCTCAAATACCATTCTAGATCGAACTGAAAAGGGAAACAACAAGACAGAGGAGAAGGAGTAGAGTGAGTGGAAAGGGGAAGAGAGGAGAGGAGAGAAGAGGAGAAAGAAGAAAGGGAAAAGGAGAGGAAGAAAAGGGAGGGGAAAAATTAAAAATTAAAGTTAAAAGATAAAATGAATGAAAAATGATGGATAAATGACTGTACATGTAAATGTGTTTATGAGAAATAAAAATAAAAACTTTTTTGATACAAAAAAAAAAAAAAGAACTGCTCAAAATTTCCGCTGTCGGTTCTCCAGAACCTGCTGGATTTCACCCCTACATAAATCCCTTTTTGAGAGGGGTCATCGCAACTTCAAACAGTCATTAAGCAACCAGTCTTAAAATCAAGGACCACCCATATGACTCAATCAATTTACAGCAATATAATCCTACAACAAATTGCTTTACAGTTAATCCTTGACTTGCAACAGTCCGTTTAATGACTGTTTAAAGTTATAACGGCACATTAAAAAAATTACTTATAATGGGTTTTTTTTACACAATCCTTATAGCATCCCCATGGTCACGTGATCAAAATTAAGGCGCTGGGAAACTGACTCATATTTATGACGGTCGAAGTGAGACAGGCTCATATGATTCCCTTTTACGACCTTCTGACAAGCAAAGTCAATGTGGGAAGCCAGATTCACTTAACAACCAGGTTGATAACTTAACAACTGCAGTTATTCACTTAACAACCGTAGCAAGAAAGGTCGTAAAATGGGGCAAAATTCCCTTAGCAATTCTCGCTTAGCAAACAGAAATGTTGAGCTCAATTGTGGTCATAAATCAAGGACTACCTGTATTGAGGGTTGCGTCCGAGTTGTACTTAATTAAAAGGATTTAATAAATAAAATTCCTGCTGCAATTCATAGCATTCTCATAAACGGCCCTGTGTGATGTTTCCTGGCTGATCCGATTAGTCTCCTCTATGCATGTAATGTTTATTAAAACGTTGAAAAGAGAAGAAAAGAAACTGATGCGACCAGATAGATAGAAAGTGAAAAGGCAAAAAGGGAAAGAAAGAAATCAAAGGAAAAGGGAAATGTGCAAGAAAAGAAAAAAGTTGAAGAAAAAATAGAAAAGGGAAAAAATAATAATAATAATACAAATGATGGCTTTTCTCTGAAGGGAGTGGAGCTTCCTTCTAACTTTTCCTTGGTTGCAGGTAGTCCTCGACTTACAACCGTAACTGAGCCTGGAATTATAGTTGTAAGTTGTGCAGATAGCTAAGGGGCTCAATTTTATGAGATTTTTGCAGTGGTGGTTTATTTATTAATTTTTTATGCCCGTTGTTAGCCGTATGCTGCAGTTGTTAAGTGAACACCATGGTCATTAAGCAAACTCATTGGTGATCCTGGAAAGGGTCACTGGAATTTTAAACCCAGGTCGAAAGTAGCTTGGGTGAGGTCCAGATAATTTGGGATTGATTGCTAAGCAACTGTTCATAAGTTAAGGACTATCTATATTACCCTCCCTTTTTTCCTTACATCTTTGCAAATCCTCTGTCCTGCTGTTATCTTGTTTTCTAAGCTGTGACGTTCCCGATCTTTCAAATCTCCTGTGTTTTACAGGAAAAGGTTTATCAGAGTTTATTACAATTTTAAGAGGAGCTTTTGCCCCAGATTTGATGCATGATTTTGGGCCATAAATCTCTGTTGCTACTGACTCACACAGATTGCCAAGACAAAAAAAAAAAAAGAATGATGGCTGGAACAAAATTATTGTGAGAAGTCTGCCCTCTGGTGGTCTTCCTAATATATGGCAGCCCCTGAAATATCCTGGGTTAGGAATACAGGTAAGTCTTGACTTATGACCAGCACTGAGTCCAAAGTCCAGGTGCCTCTTGAAAAAAAGCACCTTTGGGACAACTGTGACCTGGATGACTGAGAATCTCCATAGACATGGAGCCCAAAATTTCAGTTGCTAAGTGAGACAGTTGTTAAGTGAGTTTTGCCCTGTTTTACGACTTTTTTTGCCACCGTTGTTAAGAGAATGCCTGCAGTTGTTAAACTAGTCGCACGGTTGTTAAGTGAATCCGGCTTCCCCATCGGCTTTGCTTGTCAGGAGGTTGCAAAATCACGTGACTCCAAGGCACTGCAACCGTCATAAATGTGAGTCAGTTGCCAAGCACAACTTTTGATCACATGATCACTTATGCAACCGTCATAAGTCGTCCGGAGGGGGGGGAGGTCATGTGATCATCTTTTGCAGTGCTATTCTGCAAATAAGTGGCACAGTGGCACTCAACTTCTTTGAAACTCATCCGGTCCTCAAAGCATTTTGAGATGAAAACTTTATTATTTGTTGGGTACTCAACACACAAGCTAGAACCTGTGTCAGTATCGGCTGCCATGTCACTCACTACATTACAGGTAGTCCTCGACTTACGACTGAGCCCAAAATTTATGCTGTTAAGTGAGACACTTCTTGTAGCGAATGTTGCCACAATTTACGCCCATTGTTAACAGTTGTTAAGTGAATCATTGCAGTTGATTAGTTAGTAACCCGGTTGTTAAGTGAATCTGTCTTCCCCATGGACTTTGCTTGTCAGAAGGACGCAAAGGGGGAACCCGGGACAATGGAACAGTCATAGATATGAGTCAGTTGCCGAGTGTCTGAATTTTGATCATGTGACCCTGGGGATGCTGCGATGGTTGTAAGTGTGAAAAATGGTCATTTTCAGTGCCGTTGTAACTTTGAACAGTCACTAAACGAACAGTTATTAAGTGTAGCGGTATTCCTTATGGGAAAAATTTGTTTGGTATTCACCGTTTTTGGTACTCATTGCTGTTTGTGGATCCTCCTTTGTGATTCGCTGGAAGCACTACCTCGACTTACACCCATTCATTTAGTGACCATTCAAACTTAAAACAGCACTGAAAAAAGTAACTTATGACCATTATTCACACTTACGACCGTTGCAGCGTCCCTTTGGTCACGTGATCAAAATGTGGACACTTGGCAACTGGCATGTACTTATGATGGTTGCAATGTCCTGGGATCACGTGATCCCCTTTTGCGGCCTTCTTACAAGCAGTCAGCGGGTCAGCCAGATTCACTTAACAACCGTGTGACTAGCTTAACTGCAATGATTCCACTTATCGTGGCGAGAAATGGGGCAGGACTCACTTAACAACTGTCTCACTTAGCGGCGGAAATTTTGGGCTCAGTTGTGGTCGTAAGTCAAGGACTACCTGTGCTTGCTTGCAGGAAAGCTGGTGGCAGCCAAGGATGACAAAATACGGCAAGTTTACGACTTCAGGCATTTCGTACAAAAATGTTTCCCACAATGTTCACGCACAGCTGCGTGTGAGTGTGTTACAGGTGTGTTACATGCATGCCTACATTTTTTAAAACGCTTCACTTAACAGAAATCCCACTGGAAGCTGTACCTCATGTCTGTAAACGAGGCCTCGATTTTCTGCGAAGACTTCACACCACTCCGGTTTCCCGTCGGCGTTTCCTTCTGAAAAACGTCCAAAGAGCGCATTTTCTCATAGCCGGATGCAATTTTCTTCTCTTCAACTGTCCTTTCCAGGACTGTCTTGGTCAAGGGGTCATCTCCAGAACTGACCGCATTGTTTCGGACTGTTGAATCATCCTTCTTTGCACACCGACTCGAGGGAGAGTTGGGAGAACCGTTCTGACGGACGTCGAGCGGACGCTCCGCCGCGCGGACGGACAGGAACTCGTCCAACGATCTGGGAACTGTGGTTTTCTCGAAGGAATGACCCGGAAGGACTGTAGAACTCTTAAAGGAGCTTTCCTGGCCAAATTCGGCCGGGCTGCAAATTCCAGATAGCCGCTTCAGGTTCCTTCTTTTTAAGGAATTCTGTAGGGAGAAAGCAAAGTCTCATGAAAGGTACTGTAGAACCTCTGGCACGAATGCTTCTGGACCACGACCAAATCGGTTTCCTACCAAAAAATTCACAAAATGTTTGAATCTGGTCACGAACACGACTCTGAGGGCAATCACACACTGCCGCAGCCAATTTTCCCTTCCCTGCCGGTTTCTTTTTTATTTTATTTCCTGTTGTTTGTTTAAAAACAACAGTGACCCCTTGTGGCTGCTGCATTAAATTCGGGTCACGACCAAATCAGGTTGCAACCAAAGTTATGGAACAAATTATGGTCGTGTCCAGAGGCTCTACCAGTGCTGAAATGTAAAATTTGTTACTACCGTTTCTGTGGGCGTGGCGGGGGGGGGGGTAATGTGACTGAGTGGGCATGGCCAACTTTTTTTTTTTTTTTTTTTTACTTTTAAAAGCATTTTTTCTACAACCTCTTTGGCGAAGAGGTTGTAGAAAAATGCTTTTAAAAGCCTCTGACGATCCCAGCTGAGTTGCCTGATCATCAGAGGCTTTTTTTTTTCTTTTTAAAAACATTTTTTCTACAATTTCTTTGGCCGAAAGGTTGTAGAAAAAAATGCTTTAAAAAGCTCTCTGAGGATCCCAGCTGAGCCGCGCGATCATCAGAGGTTTTTTTTTTAACTTTTAAAAGCATTTTTTCTACAATTTCTTTGGCCGAAGAGGTTGTAGAAAAAAATGCTTTAAAAAGCCTCCGACGATCCCAGCTGAGCCGCGCGATCATCAGAGGCTTTTTTTTTTAACTTTTAAAAGCATTTTTTTTGCCGAAGAGATTGTAGAAAAAATGCTTTTAAAAGTAAAAAAAAACTTTGGGGGGGAGGCAGGGATTTTTGCTACTGGTTCTCCAAACTACCCACCGCCATCGCTACCGGATCAGGTGATCCGGTCCAAACCAGGAGCATTTCACTCCCGGGTTCTACCAACTTAAAAGCATTATGTTTGCGTAGAAAAAGACTTAAGATAGCAATTGGTTGGAGGTGTAATAAGGATGGTGCTTCTTTAAAACATGTGCTTTTAAAAGAGTCATCCACTTACAATGGTCCATTTAGCGACCAAGGTTTCCCCGGTTACAGGTAGTCCTCGACTTACAACTGTTCATTTAGTGACCGTTCGAAGTTACAACAGCACTAAAAAAAAAAGTGATTTAGGGACATTTTTCACACTTAAGACCGTTGCAGCATTCCCGGGGGTCATCTGATTTATATTCTGATGCTTGACACCTGGTTCATATTTATGACAATCGTAGTGTCCCCTTTTGCGATCTTCTGGCAAGCAAAGCGAACGGGAAGCCAGATTCACTTAACAACGCATGTTACTAGCTTAACAACTGCAGCGGTTCACTTAAAAGCTGTGGTAGGAAAAGTAAAATGGGGCCAGACTCACTTAACAACTGTCTTGCTTAGCAACAGAAATGTTGGGCTCAACTGTGGTCATCTCAACCAACAAATGCTCTGTCTTGCACATTGGCAAAAAAAAAAAATCAAAACATAAAATACAAATTAGATGGACATGACCTTGTAGATGACCCTCACTCTGTCAAGGACCTTGGAGTACTCATTTCTAAAGATCTAAGTGCCCGAGCCCACTGTAAGAACATTGCTAAAAAGGCATCAAGAGTTGTTAACCTAATCTTGCGTAGCTTTTTCTCTGGTAATGTTGTACTACTAACTAGAGCGTACAAAAGATTTGCTAGACCAATTCTTGAATACAGCTCATCTGTCTGGAACCCGCACTGCATATCGGACATAAATACAATTGAGAGAGTCCAGAGATATTTTACGAGAAGAGTCCTCCATTCCTCTAACCGCAATAAAATACCTTATGCCACCAGACTCCAAATTTTGGGCTTAGACAACTTAGAACTACGCCGACTTCAATCTGACCTAAGCATAGTACATAAAATTATCTGCCACAATGTCCTTCCTGTCAATAACTATTTCAGCTTCAACCACAACAATACATGAGCAAATAATAGATATAAACTCAAGGTAAACCGTTCCAAACTCAACTGCAGAGAATATGACTTCAGTAACAGAGTGGTCAATGCCTGGAATGCACTACTTGACTCTGTGGTTTCTTCCCCAAATCCCCAAAACTTTAACCTTAGACTGTCTACTGTGGACCTCACCCCATTCCTAAGAGGTCTGTAAGGGGCGTGCATAAGTGCACCAGCCTGTCTACCTTCCCTGTCCTAATATTCCTTTTTACTCTTATTCTTTTCATGTATTCAAATTATATTTATACTTTTTACCTGTTATCTTATATATGCTTGACAAATAAACTTATGATAAGTTGAGGACAAACTGTACTTACTAAGTTTGTAAGAAAGTAGTGTACTATATGAATGACAAAAGTGTGACAAAAGTTACAATTTTCAGAAGGTACCATTCTCTTGAATTATATACTTATACAGGTACTCCTCGACTTACAACAGTTCATTTAGTGACTGTTCAAAGTTACAACAGCACTGAAAAAAGTGACTTATGGCCATTTTTCACACTTACAACCGTTGCAGCATCCCCGTGGTCACGTGATCAAAATTCAGACGCTGGGCAATTGACTCATACTTATGACCGTTGCTGTGTCCTGGGGTCATGTGATCACCTTTTGGGACCTTCTAACAAGGAAAGTCAAGGAGGGGGAGGACAGATTCACTTAACAACGGTGTTACTAACAACTGCAACGATTCACTTAACAACTGTAGCAAGAAAGGTCGTAAAACAGGGCAAATTAACAAATGTTTCACTTAGCAACATAAATTTGGGGCTCAATTATAATCGTAGGTTGAGGACTAGCTGTATATGGAAAATAATCACTAGACAATGTCAATGGATTCGCTGTGTTCTTATTCACTATGACTAAAAGACTGATATTACTACACTGGGAAGATAAATATAAGGCTCCTTTCACTCAATGTATTGAAGAGAGCCAGTTTGAGGTAGTGGAGGAGTAGCCTAGAAACCAGGGGATGGTGAGTTCAAATCCCACTTTGGGAATGAAAGCCGGCTCCTGGATTGGCCAAGTCACTGATTGGAAAAGTCACCCAATTGGCTTCTGTGCCTAAGGCGGGATTAGAACTCACTGCCTTCTGGTGATTGGCCCAAAGTCACTTGGTCGATTTTCATGCCTAAAGTGGGATTAGAACTCATGGTCGCCTGGTGACTGGCTCAAAGTTACCCAGCTAATTTTTGTACCCATGGCAGGGCTAAAATTTAGCATCTCCTTGTGTCTTATTTCAAACCAAATCGATTTTTATTATGGTCAAAGACCAGCCTAGGGAAAGTGGTATACAAAAAAATTAAAAATATATTTAAAAATACAAAAATTAAATTAGATAAAAACCTGAAAAAAATCTAAAACAAAGAAAGATGGATTAAAAACAAAAAATGGACATTAAAAAACACGGCAAACTAAATCTACCTAGTATAGTAACAGTAACACTAAGAGAGTTGGAAGGGTCCCTGGAGGTCATCTAGTCCAACCCCGTGCTCTCAGAGACCTATGGGCCATGGTGGCGCAGTGGTTAGAATGCAGTACTGCAGGCGACTTCTGCTGACTGCAGGGGGCCAGTAATTCAGCATTTGAATCTCACCAGGCTCAAGGTTGACTCAGCTTTCCATCCTTCCGAGGTGGGTAAAATGAGGACCCAAATGTTGGGGGCCATAGGCTGACTCTGTAAACCGCTTAGAGAGGGTTATAAAGCATTGTAAAGCGGTATATAAATCTAAGGGCTATTACTATTTCTGATAGATGGCTCTCCAGTCTCTTCTTAAAGCCTCCTGTGTGAATATGAGTCAGTTCTCAAGTTCTGAATTTTGATTATGTGATCATAGTTTTAATGGTTGTAATTCTGAAAAATGCTCATAAATCTTTTTTTTTTTTCACTACCGTTGTAACTTCAAGCGGTCACTAAACGAACTGTTGCAAGTTGCCGACTACCTGTAAAATAAAGGTTTTTTTTAAAAAAATGGATTTGAGAGGGGAAAAGAGTTACGGCGGCAGTGAAAAAGGTGACTTAACCGTTTTTCACACTTACAACCGCACTTACAACGAACTGTTGCATGTCGAGGACTACCTGTAAAATAAAGTTTGTTTTTTTTTTAAAAAAAAAAAGATTTAAGAGGAAGGAAGGGGAAAGAGGAGAGGAAGAAAGGAAAGGAAGGAAAAAAGGAAAAACCTCAAACCTCTTGAGATGCGTCCGCGGAAGCACCCGTCTTTCCTTGAGATGGAAGAAGATTAGGCTGGCCTCGCGGTTTCTCCCTCGAAGTCGTTCTGGTCTCCGTAGATAATTCTCCCGGAATCTGTATCACATCCAGAAGGTCGCATAGTTTTCTCTCCTTCAGCCTCAGCATCCAACATGGTCCTAGCCTTTCCCTTCTCGCCTGGCTTGTGACAATGCCTTCTGGACAGGCAGATTATTCCCTCGCTGAACTCATAGCTAAAAATAAATAAATAAAACAAACACGACAAAGTTGGAAGGATCAGTGAAGAAAAAAATAATCACGCGCCTGGCCAGCCACGCATCTCAAGCAAAGCCCCAAGGCTGTGGAGATTCAAAAAAGGTTTGCTTTAGATAAAAAATGAATCCGAAACTGTATTGTGTCAGAAAAGCACAACAAGAAAGTTCTTTCTGTGCCAACTCAGGAAGCTCAACCTGCCCAAGGAGCTGCTGATCCAGTTCTACAGAGGAATTATGAGTCTGTCACCTGCACCTCTATAACTGTCTGGTTTGGCTCTGCAACCCAACAAGACAGACACAGACTTCAGAGGATCATTAGAACTGCAGAAAAAACAATGGCTACCAACCTGCCTTCCACTGAGGACCCGTATACTGCACGAGTCAAAAAGAGGGCTGGGAAAATATGTACGGACCCCTCGCATCCTGGACATAAACTGTTTCAACTTCTACCCGCAAAACGACGCTACAAAGCACTGCACACCAGAACAACTAGACACAAGGACAGTTTTTTCCCAAACGCCATCACTCTGCTAAACAAATATTCCCACAACACTGTCAAACTATCACTAAGTCTGCATTACTATTACTATTAATCTTCTCATCACGTTCCTATCACCCATTCCTCCCACTTATGACTGTATGACTGTAATCTTGTTGCTTGTATCCTTACAATTTATATTGATATTGTTTCCTGTTTTTTTTTTTTTTAAATTTGATTATATGCTTCTCCGGAGACTCAGGGCGGCTTACAGTCGTTAAGCAATAGCCTTCATACTTTCGTATATTTATACAAAGTCAGCTTATTGCCTCCACAAACTGGGTCCTCATTTAACCTACCTTAGAAGGATGGAAGGCTGTCAACCTTGAGCCTTGGAGAGATTCGAACCAGCATAAATTGCAGCATTGATAATTGCTTTAAACCACTGTAGTACCAAGGCTTGTACTTTGTTTGCTTATTGTACCTTATGACTATCATTAAGTGTTGTACTTATGATTCTTGATGAACGTATCTTTTCTTTTATGTACACTGATTTACGCACCAAAGACAAATTCCTTGTGTGTCCAATCACACTGGCCAATAAAGAACTCTATCTATTCTATTCTATTCTATTCTCTATTCTATTCTATTCTATTCTATTCTATTCTATTCTTTCCAGACAAGTACAGTCCATTATTCTATTCTATTCTATTCTATTCTATTCTATTCTATGTATTCTATTCATTCTATTCTATTCTATTCTATTCTATTCTATCTATTCTATGATGAACATCACTGAGAATAATAAGGAATCAACTCAGTTCAATTCATTGCGACCAAAGCCCGTGGTACAAATAATAAACAAAGAAAATTTAAGACATAATTAAAATACACTTGTAAAATAACCTAACGTGTGAAATTCAGGATATAGACTGAATTGAATTATAATGTAAACACGAAATTGTATTAAATATGACATCTAAAATTACAGCAAAGTATCTTGTTAGGTATCCATGCTGGCTCCAGAAATCTGGCAGTTGAAATCCACAAGTTGTGAAGTTGACATAGTTGCTGGTGTACAGGTAATTCTTACCACTGTTCGCTTAGTGACCGTTCGAAGTGACAATGGTACTGAAAAAAGTGTTGCAGCATACCTGCGTGACATCATCATGACACTTGACAACTGGCATGTACTTATGACAGTTGCAGTGTCCCGGGGTCATGTCGCCTTTTGCGATCTGCTGACAAGCAAAGTCAATGTGGGAAGCCAGATTCACTTAAGAAATATGTTACTTTTGAGCCGTGGTGGCGCAGTGGTTAGAACTCAGTACTGCAGGTTAACTCTGCTGATTGCCAGCAGTTCGACCCTGACCGGCTCAAGGTTGACTCAACTTTCCATTTTTCCAAGGTTGGTAAAATGAGGACCCAGATTGTCGGGGGCAATAAGCTGACTCTGTAAACCACTTAGAGAGGGATGTAAAGCGGTATATAAGTCTAAATGCTATTGCTACTTTTAACAATTGCAATGATTCACTTAACAACTGTGGCAAGAAAGGCATAAAGTGAGGCAAATCTCCTTTAACAACTGTCTCACTTAGCAACAGAAATTTTGGGCTCAGTTGTGGCATAAGTTAACCAAGGACCTACAAATGATTTGTTAATTGATGTCCCAACTGTTTTATTAAAAGGAACTATTGATCAGAAAGATGTAGTTGCCTAGATTCTGCCTGCCAAGGAGAAGTTCAATAGGGAGAACCTCTTCTATAATATTTTGAGGTGAAGCAAACTTCACCTGTAATTCCTCTACATCAGTGTTTCTCAACCTTGGAAGCTTGAAGATGGGTGGACTTCAACTCCCAGAATCCCCCAGCCAGCAGCGCTGGCTGGGGGATTCTGGGAGTTGAAGTCCACCCATCTTCAAGCTTCCAAGGTTGAGAAACACTGCTCTACATGCTTTTAAATATCAAGGTGAAAAGAAACCCAGTAGAACAGGGCTGCAATGCTAAACAAGGCCTCAAGGCGGCAGTAAGGAGCCCAAGGAATCATCATCTGCGTTTGCGCAGAGAAGAATCTCTTCGCTCCGCTCTTCCCAAAAGCTCTCACTATAACCAACCAGAGCGTCCCACCTTCGTCGCTCCCCATTGGCTGCACTGAAGAGGGGCGGGGCAGGAGAAATAATCTACTGTATTTACCCTCGCGTTCTTCCGGGGAGGCACCCAGAATTCGGAGGGGAGTGCGCATGCTCGGCCGAGGACTATAAATACCAAGCGCCTGAAGATGGACGCTCCATTCTGTGGCGCGCTCCGGTCGCGGCAACAGGGGGTGGGGAGGAGGGGCGAGCGAGGCTGCGTCAGAAAGGGGTGGGGCTGTATCTATTTATGAAGCTATTCCGCCTTTTTACAAGCCTCCCCGGGTGGTTGAAACTCGAAAGGGGGGGTGTTTTCTTTCCATCTTTGATATATTGTTGGTTTTTAAATTTGCAACAGCGAGGTGGCTTTAAAAAGACTTCCTTCTCCCCCTTTGCTTGCAGAGGCCAAAACAAAAAATAAACAAACAAAACCATGCATTTGCACCGTGACAAAAGCCCCCAGCCCTTAAAACCATGAAAAGCCATTCATAAACTACCATTCATAAACTGGGACATGCAAATTTAGATTCTGGGGTTGTCTTTTCTCTTGTTCCCAAGGTAGCATTCACAAGATGGCGGCGTTATCCCCATAACAACCCTGTGAGGTAGACCAGGCAGAAGCAGAGGTCTTAAAACTGTCCTGAGAGCCTCTGCTGCTGAGGGGATCTTGAATCCAGGTGTCCCCGTTTTAGTCTGTTCTCTTAAGGGTGGCCTCATTGCTGGAGGTTTTCAGGAAAAGGCTAGAGAAGGGTTTGTTTGGAATAATGTGGAAATCCCTATGCAGCAGGGATGGGCAACTGTGGCTCTTTTACAACCTGTGGACTTCAACTCCCAGAATTCCTAAGCCAGCTTGGCTGTCTCGGGAATTCTGGGAGTTGAAGTCCAGAGGTTGTAAAAAGGCCACAGTTGCCCACCCCTGCTATACAGTATTGGAGAAGGGTTGGACTAGAACAGTGTTTCCCAAACTTGGCTATTTTAAGATGCATGGACTTCAACTCCCAGAATTCCCCAGCCAGTATGTCTGGTTGAGGAATTCTGGGAGTTGAAGTCCATACATCTTCCAAGGGTCAAGTTTGGGAAACACTGGACTAGAAGACCTCTTGGGTCCCTACCAGTCCTATGATCTATTGCAGGACTTATACTGGTGTTTCTCAACCTCAGCAAACTTATGATGTGTGGACTTCAATTCCCAGAATTCCCCAGCCAATCATTTTGGCTGGAGAATTCTGGGAGCTGAAGGCCATGCTACCGATTGGAGAATTCCTGGAGTAGAAGAAGTCCACATATTTTAAATTTGCAGAAGTTGAGAAACAACAAGGAGCCTTGGTGGTGCAGCGGACTAAAGTGCTGTTAAATAGCACTTAGCTACCAGCTGCCTGCAATTACTGCAAGTTCAAATCTCACTAGGCTCAAGGTTGACTCAGCTTTCCATCCTTCCGAGGTAGGTAAAATGAGGACCCGGATTGTGAGGGGCAATAAGCTGATTTTGTATAAAAAAGAACACCGCTTAGGAAGGGCCGAAAGCCCTACTAAACAGGTATATACAAAAGTATGAAGGCTATTGCTTAACGCATTGTAAGCCACCCTGAGTCTCCGGAGAAGGGCGGCATATAAATTGAATCAATCGATCAATCAATCAATCAAATAAATAAATAAATTCACATTAAAGATCAGGCTACGGATCTCAGTTCTGAGTGTGTACATAAAACCATCCATTCCTTGTTCAGACTTAATCCGCAAAGAATGAAGTCGTTCAGAGCAATCGGTGTTTGAAAAACATACCAGTGGCATTGTGTTTTATCCCGCTTCCCATTCGTTTACTATAATTACAGCATCTTTTAATTTGGCAATCACAAATTTTAAGCTTCATGAGTGCCATTCAATGTATATTATTAACCTGGTGGAAATAACGGAAAGGATTTTGTAGCACATCTTTGGACATTTTATTAAAAGGCAGAAGGTTCCGGAAATATGCCTTTTCAGTAGCTGCAAAAAAGGGTTTTAATACATGCCTGAATACAGATAGTCCCCGACTTATAACAGCTCATTTAGTGACCATTTGAAGTTACAACAACACTGAGAAAAGTGACTTATGACTGTTTTTTACACTTAATGGCCGTGGCAGCTTCCCCGTGGTCATGTGATTTACAGTCAGATGCTTGACAACTGGTTCATAGTTATGACGGTTGCAGTGCCTCCCCCCGGTCATGTGATCCCCTTTTGCGACCTGACAAGCAAAGTCGATGGGGAAGCCAGATTCACTTAACAACCGTGTTCGTAATTTAACTGCAGTGATTCACTTAACAGCTGTGACAAGAGAGGTGGGGCAAAACTCACTTAACAAATACTTAGCTACATAAATTTTGGGCTCAATTGTGGTCGTAAGTCAAGGACTATCTATGCCTGCCCTCGGGTGAACTGTCTGGATGTACGATAGGAAGATTTTTTTTTATAGCTGATAAAGAGGAAATGAATAATTCCTGGATCACCTAGTTTGGATTAATTTTCTCTATCCTTAGACCAGTGTTTCTCAACCTTGGAAGCTTGAAGAGGGGTGGACTTCAACTCCCAGAATCCCCCAGCCAGCGTTGCTGGGATTCTGGGAGTTGAAGTCCACCCCTCTTCAAGCTTCCAAGGTTGAGAAACACTGCCTTAGACAGTCCTGTCCCTATCTGTGAATAACTGCAACCACAGACTTTTTGAAGTTTGAAAGCTGTATTCCTTTGGCGTTTTAGGAGAGGAAGCCACAGATGTGTTTATCTCCTAAATCATTTGGCAACAGTATTTTGGGAGAAATAAATTTGGCCTGTAATTTATAGTTAATTCATAGCAACCTAGATTGGAAGGGGCCTCAAAGGTCATTTAGTCCAACCCCTGCCCAGTGCATGCAATCCTTATATCAGCCTGTAAAAATGCCCATCCAATCTTTTTCCTGAAAACCTCCAGTTTTATGGCCTGAAATCTTTTTCAGGACTCAAAGCAGTTGTTTTTTTTATCATAAAGCAGTGACAGAGATTGGTAAATGATGAATTTTAACACTGTAATACAGGTAGTTCTCCGCTTACGACTGTTGCATAGCAACTATTCTAAGTTACGATGGACCCAAAAAAAAACATAGATTCCAAATTCCGATGGCCATCTCCCTTCCCCCACAGCCACATGATCACATTTTGGAAACTCAGCATCTGATTTGCATTTACAGCTGTTTGTGGCATCCCAGTCGCATCACGACAGCGGTTCATGACTGTTTTTGCCAAAAACTGACCTTAACAGGTGGTCCTTGATTTACTACCGTTTGTTTAATGACCGTTCCAAGTTACAACGGCACTAAAAAAAATGAACTTATGATCATTTTTACAACCATTGTAGCATTTCCATGATCACATGATCAAAATTAAGACATTTGGCCACTGACATGTATTTATGACGGTTGCAGTGTGTCGAGGTCACATGATCCCCTTTTGTGACCCTACTGACAAGCCTGATTCACTTAACAGCCATGTTACTAACTTAACCACGTAAGTAGCGCTTCACTTAACAACTTTGAAAGGAAGAACAAAAAAAAGGGGCCAAGCTCACTTAACAGCCATCTCATTTAGCAAAAATAAATTTTGGGTTTAACTGTGGTTGTAAGTTGAGGACTACCTGTACTTCCAGTTTCCAGCAAAAAAAAAAAAAAACAGCCATTGCAGACAGTGGATTCGCTTTATGACAGCAATGTTGGCTTAATGACCACTGTATGCACTGTATGACTTCCTGTATGCAGCAACCAGTTAATGACTAGTTAAGATTTAGGATCAAATTCTGAAAGTTATATATACCTGGGAGTCCCTTTTTTAGTTTTTTCAGCTGCTGCCTGCCCTCGAGTGGCTTCTCCAGAGTGGAAATTCTTAGGAGGAAAACTCTGCATACTTCTTGTGTTGTGACAGGCTTTATTTTCCAGAAACGAGGAATTTCCCAGGAAGGTTTGGTTACTCTGGAGCTCCAGAAAATAGCTCGCCATGATTTCCAGAATGGTTTTTAAAGGAGCCTCTTTGGCCTGCAGTAGAAAAAGTGAGATAAATGGTCCATTATAATTAGGCTGACTCAATTTTACTGTTTGCAAAAGACAAGAGAGTTGATTTCTAGGCTACATATTCTAGGTTCAAGTCTCCTGCTTTGTGATATTTTAAAACAGTATTATGTATTATTAAATTAGAGCAGTGCATTTATTAGCAAACCTAGTGACTGGATTATTTGTAAAATGTGTTTTTCTTCTTTTCTCTTTTCTCTCTTTCCTTTTCTCTTTTCTCTTATTTTCCTCTCTTTTTTATTTTCCTTTCTCTTTTATTTTCCTTTCTTTCTTTCTTTCTTTCTTTCTTTCTTTCTTTCTTTCTTTCTTTCTTTCTGGTTGTGGTGACTTACGACCACAACCGAGCCCAAAATTTCTGTTGCTAAGCGAGACTCTTGAATTTTGCCCCATCTTACGACCTTTCTTGTCACAGTTGTTAAGTGGACTACTGCAGTTGACAAATTAGTAACATGGTTGTTAAGTGAATCTGGCTTCCCCATAGACTTTGCTCGTGAGAAGGTCACAAAAGGGGATCACATCAGTGATGGGTTTCAAAAATTTTTACTACCAGTTCTGTGGGCATGGCTTGGTGGGCGTGGCATTACTTGGTGATATAGCTTGGTGGGCGTGGCAGGGAAAGAATACTGTAAAATCTTCATTCCCACCCACTCCAGGGGTAGGATACTGCAAAATCCCCATTTCCTCCCGATCAGCTGGGACTCGGGAGGCAGAGAATAGATGGGGGTGGGGCCAGTCAGCATTTTTACTACCGGTTCTCCGAACTACTCAAAATTTCCGCTACTGGTTCTCCAGAACTGGTCAGAACCTGCTGAAACCCACCTCTGGATCACATGAACCCTTGGACACTGCGACTGTCAAAAGTATGAGTTAGTTGTCAAGCATCTGAATTTTGATGACACGATCATGGGGATGTCGCAAAGATTGTAACTGTGAAAAATGGCCATAAGTCATTTTTTTCAGTGCCACTGTAACTTTGAATGGTCACTAAGTGAACTTTTGTAAGTTGAGGACTATCTGTACTGAATAACAGAGTCGGATCTTGGAGGACTTCTAGTCAAGCCCCCACCTCAAGCAGGAAACCTTATACCAGTGATGGCTAACATTTTTCTCGTCGTGTCCACGCGCATGCCGGCCCCCATAATGCAATGTGACCCTCCATGCATGCGCGCATGACCTCTCCCGCCCCCCCACGTATGCACACATGATCCCCCCACGCTCCCCTGCTCCCCCAACATGTGCACAAGACTTCCACATGTACCCCGCCCCCTCTTCCTACGCATCCTGTAAATCCCGCTCCGCTGGCGGACTGCACGGTGGAGCTGAGCTGGATGACAGCTCACATGCCCGCGGAAAGGGCCACACATGCCAGCTGTCGCACACATGCCATAGGTTCTCCATCACAGCCTTATACCATTTCAGACAGTCTTTTCTTAACTTCCAGGGATGAAACAGCTACAACTTTTAAAGCGCCCACTTATTAATTGTCCTCACTGTGAGGAAATTTCTCCTTAGTCCCTGAGATCGTTAAAACGCTCATTTTTGGTGCTTTTAAGGAAGAAACTGAAAACTACTAATTATGGGTAGTGTAAGTAGTTGCTTGTGCACCTTCTGGGGGTTAGAATAGATGATCTTTGTGGCCCCTTCCAATTGCATAATTCTACGACTCTACCTCGAACAGATTGTCCCATCAAGAGTCTTGCTTATAACTTCTAAAGTGTCCTAGAAACCTTGTGCAAAAAAAAAGGCTGCCCTGTTTTACCTTGTTTTGTTTGTATAAAGACTGGAGGTGCAAAACACTTCGGAGCTCGTTCCTGTTGTTGATGCTGAGTGCGGTACGGGGAAATTCTTCGTCCATCATGGTACTTGTCTTCTTTAAGCCCTGGGCAGGAAAGAGATCATGCTATAAGTCAGTGTAGAAAATTAACCTCAGTCTTCATACCGCTGATTAACTTAGAAGTCAGTGTAATAATATTCAGAGAAGCTGTTGGCACAGTGTTTTTCAAGCTTCATAACTCTTAAAGAGGTTTAAGATGGGTGGACTTCAACCCCCAGAAATCCCCAGCCCGCATGCTTGAAAATTCACAGTCCAATTCCCAGAATTCTTCAGCCTGCACATTTTAAGATGTGTGGACTTCAACTCCCAGAATTCCCCAGCCCGCATGCTTGAAAATTCACAGTCCAATTCTCAGAATTCTCTTGCAGGGTCATTACTGAGAATTCTGGGAATTGGAGTCCCTGTACATGTCCTAGTTGCTGAGACTGAGAAATGCTGGTTACTATATGAGTTAAAAACTTTATGGACTTTTGCTGAAAACAGAAAAAAAATGAACTTGTGATTTATGGATGCTTAGAAAGGATAGAAGCGTGATGGTGAACCTATGGCACGCGTGGGCATGTGAGCCGTCGCCCCAGCTCAGCTCCACCGCGTATGCGCACACGTCTCCCACCGGCCAGCTTCGGGTCTCTGCCGCACATACGTGGGATGCATGCAGGAGACCTTTGTGCATGCGCGGAGGTGGGGAGCGGGGGGAGGTCATATGGGGAATGGGGGGTCACGCATGCATGTGTGGGGGAGCATGGGGTGCCCGCATGGGGGTCACGTTTGCATGCACTGGGGGTTGGGGCACGGGGGGTCGTACACGCATTGCATTATGGGTGTGCACGCGCTTTCGGCACACGGCAACAAAAAGGTTAGCCATCACTGGGATAGAATAAGGAAAGAAGAGGGCAAATATAACCGTAGAGAGAAAGAGTAAAATATTAATACAATTATCACTGCTGTAAAGACAACAGAATTTCATTTTCAGTGTGCTCACAGTAAAAAAGTGACAATGAAGGTTATTTGCTGTAAAGAAGATTCAAAGCCCTCCTTTTTCTTTCTTTCTTCTTTCCTTCCTTCCTCTTTCTCTCTCTCTCTTTCTTTTTCTTTTCTCGCTTCCCTCCCTCCTTCCTTGTCTTCCTTTCTTCCTTCCTCTTTCTCTCCTTCCTTCCTTCCTTTCTCTCTCTCTCTTTCTTTTCCTCCCTTCCCTCCCTCCTTGTCTTCCTTCCTTCCTCTCTCTCCTTCCTTCCTTCCTCTTTCTCTCTATCTCTTTCTTTCTCTTTCCTCCACCTGCCTCCCTCCCTGTCTTCCTTCCTTCCTTCCTCTCTCTCTCTCCTTCCTTCCTCTTCCTTCCTTCCTTCTACCTTCCTTCCTTCCACTCTTCCTTCCTTCCTTCCTCTCTCTCTCCTTCCTTCCTTCCTCCCCTGCCTCCCTTTCCATTCCTCCGTCATTCTTTCTTTCTTTCTCTTTCCTTTCTTTTCCTTTCTTTTTTTTCTGTCTCTACTTTTCCCTTTTCTTTTACTTCTCTAAACTTTCTTTCTTCTTTAAATTGGTATTGTTTTTGGTCTGAAAAAAAAAAAACTCTTCTTTGCTAAAAAAAATTAATTGCAAACACAAAGCGTCCACCCGTTCGTTTGCCAATGGAAAGTCTTTCTCCGCCTCGCCATCTCTCCAAATGCATGGTGGGAAATGTAGTCCCCGGAGGACTCCGGCTCTGCTCCAGGTTGGGCACCCGAGGCTTTTCCCCTCCCCTCCCCCAATCCTTTTCCCCCTCCATCCCCCCCCCTCACCTTTTTGCTCAGGAACTCCCGCACCAAAGAGGCAGCCACCTCTTCCACGAAAGACGCTTCCATGGATGGTCTTGCAGCATGCAACGAGCTCTGATTAATAAATAAAACAAAATGCAAAGATTTTGCAAAGATATATATATATATATATATATATTTTGCTTGGTCTCCCTTGCTTTCCAAGCCTTCGCGGGTTCGCTTTGCTCAAATTGCAGCTGGCGGGCAAGGCAGTTGCGTTACAGTTGGCAGGTTGTCATGGGGATGACGTCACGCGCCGAGGATTCTTTCCCCGCCCCCTGGGTGCCAGATGAGGATACATCGGGGTTCTAGAACGGGGCGGACCGGGGAATTCTGGGAGTTGAAGTCCGCGCTTCTTAAAAAGTTGTGGAGGTTGAGAAGACACTGGGCTTAGATTTAGAAGGTAAATTATTAGGTTTTTGAGAAAAGGAGGAAGGGAGGAAGGAAGGAAGGAGACAAAGGAAGAATAGAGGGAGGGAAGGAAGGAAGGAAGGAAGATGAAAGAGGAAGAATAGTGGGGGAGGAGAAGGGGAAGGGAGGAAAGAAGGAAGGAAGATGAAAGGAAGAATAGAGGGGGAGGGGAGGAAGAAAAGGGAAGGAAGGAAGATGAGAAAGAGGAAGAATAGTGGGGGAGGAGAAGAGGAAGGAAGGAAGGTGAAAGGAAGAATAGAGGGAGTGGGAGGAGAGGAGGAAGGGAGAGAAAGGAAGAATAGAGGGGAGGAGAGGAAGAAAGGAAGATGAGAGAAAGAGGAAGAATAGTGGGGGAGGAGAAGAGGAAGGAAGGAAAGAAGGAAGAAAGAGGAAAGAAAGAATAGAGGGAGTGGGAGGACAGGAGGAAGGAAGGGAGAGAAAGGAAGAATAGAGGGGGAGGGGAGGAAGAAAAGGAAGGAAGGAAGATGAGAGAAAGAGGAAGAATAGTGGAGGAGAAGAGGAAGGAAGGAAAGAAGGAAGAAAGAAAAGAGGAAGAATCGAGGGAGTGGGAGGAGAGGAGGAAGGAAGATGAGGGAAAGGAAGAATAGAGGGGGAGTGGAGGAAGAAAAGGAAGGAAGGAAGGAAGATGAGAAAAAGAGGAAGAATAGTGGGGGAGAAGAGGAAGGAAGGAAAGAAAGAAGGAAGGAAAATGAAAGAGGAAGAATAGAGGGAGTGGGATGAGAGGAGAAAGGAAGATGAAAGAAAGGAAGAATAGAGGGGTAGGGGAGAAAGAAAAGGAAGGAAGGAATATGAGAGAAAGAGGAAGAATAGAGGCAACCGTCATAAGTATGAACCAGTTGCCAAGCGTCTGAATTTTGATCACATGATAGTGGGGATGCTGCAACCGACATATGTGTGAAAAACGGTCATAAGTCACTTTTTTCAGTGCCATTGCAATTTTGGTCACTAAATAAACTATTGTAAATCGAGGACTAGCTGTACTATGCCCAAAGGAAAAGCATTTAGAAATATGAAATAAGATAAACCTCACGAAACTGGGCATTTTTGTTGCAGTAAAATAAGGTATTAGCATCAAATCACAACTTTTTGCTTTTTCATAACAATATGAACAAGTGATTTCTATAAAGATCCATCGATCTGCTCAGTAAAACCCCAAATCAAAGTTTCATTCTTTTCCACTTCAAGCACGAAGCTCAGAAGCAGTCTCCATGTGGAAATAAAAGTACTTACCTGTTAAATTCTTTTCTTTAATCAAAACAGCCAATTTTGCCATTTCAGCCAACGCCATCAACTTCTGCAACCATTCATCCATAGTAGGAATCAAAGTGGAAGTCAATGCTGCTTTTTTCCCCCTTTATCCTTCCTCACTTCTCTTTCCCCTCTTCTTCCCCACTGTTTTTCTATTTACTTTTTTGTATTTTGCATGTTATAATATTTTATAACTCAATAAAAAAATGTTGAATGGACGTAACTGGGCATTTTTTATTTTATTTATTTTTCATTTCAAGAGCCATGGTGGCGCAGTGGTTAGAATGCAGTATTGCAGGCTAATTCCAAGTGCCCACTGCCAGCAATTCGGCAGTTCGATCCTGACCAGCTCAAGGTTGACTCAGCCTTCCATCCTTCCGAGATCAGTAAAGTGAGCACCCATTGTTGGGGGCAAGAGGCTGACTCTGTAAACTGCTTAGAAAGTGAAGCACTGTGAAGCAGTATATAAGTGCTATTGCTATTTTTCAGTGGCACTGCAATGCGGCAGATCACACGGAGTGTGTAAAATGCAATCAAAAGCCTTTTTGGAGTTTTCTGGTGGTTGGCAGGTTGTGGCATCTTCATCAGTGCAAAATTTTCTTCAAACTTAGGGAGATTTGAGGCTAAAACATAAGAACGCTCGCAGGAACTGGGTATGTCTAATATTTAATGAAAAGAAGGAGTAGGGGAGACATGATAGCAGTCTTCCAATATCTCAAGGGCTGCCACAAAGAAGAGGGAGTCAAGCTATTCTCCAAAGCTCCTGAAGGCAGGACAAGAAGCAAGGGGAGAAGCAACCTAGAACTAAGGAGAAATTTCCTGACAAGTGAGAACAATTAATCCTAAATCCACTCCTTCAACCAGATACACTTATACCTCGCTACTTGACTGCTTTGAAACTCATAGAATTTGGTACTCAGTGCATTTTTATGTGAAAATTTTGTTCTGGTACTCGTTGTTTGGTACGTGATGCGCAAGCTAGAACTAATCAGTGTCCACTAACTCATGACTTACTACCCAAAACAAAGGGTGACACATTACATGGTTTGTTTGACACATTTTTAATACTTGTCATGTTTCCTGTTTAATGACAAGTACTAAGGTACCAATGTACTCGGTGGCAGCTTTTCTGACATCTCACTTGGCTTGAGTTTATTCAACAAGCTAACACTGATGATTATTTAAATTCCTGAACTCAGCCCTCCAGCTATCATTGGCTTAATTCCTAGATCACAACATCTCTTTGTTCCTAATGAGTTGTGCTCTCTAGGCTATTACAAATGACAACTTGTGTTGCATCCAGTGTTGGTCTATCTTTTGTCTATCCTTGATCTATCGTTTATCTATCTGTAATTGGCATTTTGGGCTAGATCTTGCTCATCCTTTGGCTCCCTCCCTCCTCCTTTCCTCCCTCCCTCCCTTTTTATTCTCCGTCTTTGCTTCCTTCCCATTCTTATAAACCTAAGGCTACATCTAAATAATCAACTGTTGTTGATGCCAAATGTTCATACGTTATAAATCACATGTTCCAATAGCATATTCCACTATTCCAATATATCACTCATTCCAAAATGGCAGAAAAACCACAACAGAAAATACTTGCTGATATGTTTACGGTTTATTTATTTGGTCAGCGTGGTGGTAGTAATAGTGGAAGCAGTAGATGGGAGAGGCACCATACCATGGCAGTATTTGCTTCTAGCTTTAGACCAAGAATTCAAATTAAATCAATATATATTATTATATATTTTTCAACAATTGTTTGAAAAAAAAAAATGAAAGAGCAGCATTAACTTGCCCTATAGGAAACAATGTATAATTCCCCTTTTGTTAAAAAAATTTTTTTTAATTTTTTTTTTTTATTTGCAGGAGAATATCAAATATAAGACAATCTCTGTGGTTCGGGATTGAACCGTGGGGTCCTCTGAACCTGGTTCCTGTTTGCAGATGTTTCATTATCTGACGGGTAGCATCAACGTTGAGATGGCTCTAATAACAACGAGAGCTTTTTCTTCCTCGTCCTGCAACGTTAGTAAGGTCTGAGGCCCCGCTCACTTACCACGCAGGACAGCCTAAAATATACGTAGAGAGCGAAAAGAAACACCGCCAGAAGGATGATGGCTCCAACGGTCTTTTTTCTGTGAAGGACAGAGAAAAGAGAACAGCTTGCTAGGACAGGGGTCGGCAACCTTAAACACTCAAAGAGCTACAAAGATCCTAACTGGAAGCCCCCCATTCAATTCTGGAGCTGACCAGAAGTCTGGTTCCCCCACCGTAGAGTCTCCTCCTAGTATGACATCCTTTTTCCTCTACCTGTCCTAACCGAAAGCCTTATCAAATTGTGGAGCCGACCGGCGACAGGGAGCCGCAGCAGAAGGATGAAAGAGCCACATGTGGCTCCAGAGCCGCAGGTTGCTGACTCCTGTGCTAGGAGAACATTGGCTAATTCATGATGCTCCCTAGCCTTTCATTAATTGGGCGCTTTCGAAACTGCATCATCTCTAGTCAACTGAGCCATGTTGCTTAAGAATCCTTGGAATTGTCGCCCAGTTTACCTGGAGGACATCAGGTGTTAGTCTGTCCAAGGGATTCTCAAAACGCCACCCATCCTATAGGGCACCACAGGGAAAGGCTCACTCCTTTCGGATGTATTTGGAGGCCCACAGGGATAGGAAGTGAAGCTGCGAGGAGGCCTCCAGGGCTCTCCAGAGCAATAATCGAACCACCTTGTGAAAGGGCACAAGCATGGAGTGGCACCACTCATGGGCAAAAGTGAGTTAAGGACAGGGGTGAAATCCAGCAGGTTCTGGAGAAACGGTAGCGGAAAATTTGAGTAGTTCGGGGAACCAGCAACTACCACCTCTGGCTGGCCCCAGAGTGGGGAGGGAATGGAGATTCTGCAGTATCCTTCCCCTGGAGCGGTGGTGAAATCCAATTTTTTTTACTACTGGTTCTGTGGGCGTGGCTTGGTGGGCGTGGCAGGGGAAGGATACTGCAAAATACCCATTTCCTTCCCACTCCTGGGGGAATGATATTGCAAAATCTCCATTCTCATCCTACTCCTGGGGCCAGCTAGAGGTGGTATTTGCTAGTTTTCTGAATCACTCAAAATTTCCGCTACCGGTTCTCCAGAACCTGCAGGATTTCACTCCTGCCCTAGAATGGGGTAGAAATGGGGATTTTGCAGTATCCTTCCCCCAGGAGTGGGGAGGGAATGGGGATTTTGCAGTATCCTTCCCCCAGGAGTGGGGAGGGAATGGGAATTTTGCAGTATCAAATTTGCAGTATCAAAAAAAAATTGAATTCCACCACTGGTTAAGGAGCAGCAACACTCTCCTTCCCAATCCAAGTCTTTTAAGGCAGGGGTCACCAACCTTTCGGACCTCAGGGACCACTAAATTCATAATTTTAAATCTCAAGGACCACTAATATGATTTTTTAAAAAAGATAAATAGTATCTAGTGCAATATAAAAAATGCAAATAATTTTTCTGCGGACCACCAATGGTCCACAGACTATTGGTTGGTGACCACTGCTTTAAGGAATAGGGCCATTTCCAAATATTTAGAGGGAAGGGAACGGAAGGGAAGGAGACTCAAGTTGGGGCGAATTAAATCTATCTACGATTACAAGCTATATTGATTAGAATAAGACATACCTGCAGCAAAATCTCAGCTTTCCTAGGTTCTTCCTTACAATCTGAAAGCCATAAGGAGCAAATAGCAAAGAAAACAGTAAGTGAATATGTTTTACATTATATTGACTGTAGAGTCATTGTCTTAATTGCATGATCGTAACAATGGTGCCTCAGGTTTTGATTACCAAACAGCCTCCAAGTCATACCAAGCCTCCTACCCAACTCATCTTTTTCAGATAAATTGTGTTTTTTGTTGTTGTTTTTTAAAAAGCAATCTGGTACCACATTTTTTCAACTAGCAAATGTAATTAAAAAGCTATTTTTTTTAATAAAAATGTGTTATTCAGAAAAACTGCTTCCAGACTCCTGACACAGCTCTTCTTCTACCATGTCCAATAATTTTTTGCAACTCTCCCAACTAAAAGCAATATGCAAATTATCTACACTTAGCACTATTCTCGGAAATGCAAGACTTAAAATAAGAAATGCTAGATTTCACTGATTTGCAAGGTGACTTGTTTTACTTCTAATTCCTCGGATACGTTTTTTTTGTATTATTCAGTCTCTACATTCAAACTGTTTTTATCTTGCGATGAACAATAGGAGTTGAAATTCTCTCCACTTTTTTTTCTCTCTCTCTAAATCAGCCTTTCTCAACCTTTTTACCTGGAAGAACATTTGAAACAATTTTCAAATCTCTATTAAAATATTATATCTACTGGCCAGGGGTGGGCTTCAAAAAATTCAGCAACGGATTCTCTGCCCGGTTGCTGGGTGAGCGTGGCCATGGTGGCTGTGGTCGAGCCGGCCTCCTGCACCACGAGGGGGGGCCTGTTTTCGCCTTCCCCAGACTCCAGAGGCTTTCCTCAGCCTCTGGGAGGGCGAAAACTGCCTCCCCCAAGCTCTGGAGGCCCTCTGGAGGCCAGAAACGGGACTGTTTTCGGACTTCCAGAACTTCCAGACGGCCCGTTTTTCCCCCTCCCTAAGCCTCTGCGTGGGCCCTGCACTTATCTCACATCCAAAATGGGCCGCGTGGAGACTCCTGGGAGGGGAGGGGAAGGCGGGGCCAGCTAGGGGTGGGATTTGGAGGTTCTCCGAACCGGCCATAACATTAGCTACGGGTTCTCCCAAACCCAGGCGAACCCGTAGCAGCCCATCCCTGCATTGCATAGTGAATAAAGTTTTTAAAATTATATATATATTTATGGACTCTCATGAAACCCTTAACGACCTCTTGTAGAATCCCATTTGAGGAAGGCCGATCTACAAATGATTGGCTGTGGGGCTACACCCATGTCTCTCCTGCCTAGAGAGGGATTCTGGGTGTCCTTCACAGGGCCTCTTTCCTGAGAGATGAAGCTTCACGGTAGCCAGATGGAGCCACCTGAAGGTGATGTTTCCATCACTCCTGCAACTCCTAGGAAAAAGAGTCACTTCTCTTCTTAAACGAAAAGTTTCCCACCCTGATTGGGCTCTTGAGTTCAGGGTTCAAAAGACAAAGATGCAGCACTTCTGGTGAGGAATACAGGTAATCCTTGACTTACAACAATTCATTTAGCGACCGTTCAAAGTTACAGCGACCCTGAAAAAAATGACTTATGGCCGTTTTGCACGATTACAAATCATTGCAGCATGTGATCTAAACTCAAAGGCTTGGCAACTGACTCATATTTATGACGGTTGCCATGTCCCGGGGTCATGCGATCCCCTTTTGTGATCTTCTTATAAGGAAAAGTCAATGAGGAAACCAGATTCACTTAACAACTGTTTTATGAATTTAACAACTGCAGTGATTCACTTAACAACAGTCGCAAGAAAGGTTTTTAAATGGGGCAAATTCACAACAAATGTTTCACTTAGCAATGTTGGGCTCAATTACGGTCGTAAGTCAAGGACTACCTGTATATCAGGCATTCTTATCCCTCGTTTTGAGCGTTAATTAGTTCATCCCTAATATTACATTAAGTGACTATTATCTATCATTTATTAAGCATTTATGCTCTTCGTATACCTGTTTTCTTTGAGAAGGAATTCCTTTGGAGAAGGGTACTTTTCTCCTCCGCATTTCAGGATCTGTGCTTCCTGTCATCTCTTTAAGGTTTTCTTCCCGTAGACTTTGGATAGATATTTTCAGCCATTCCTCCACACTCAGCTTAGATGTTTCAGGCCCTCCCTCTTCAAGGTGATTTAGGGATATCTCCAGCCACTCCTTCACATGTTGCCTGGATTCCTCTGGACATCCTTCCTGAACATTTTGTATGGATTCTTGGAGCCATTCCTCCAGGTTGCTTCTAGATCTGTCTCGGGATTCTCGTCTGAGTTTTCCCAGAGATGCTCGTAGCCATCCTTGCAATCCTGTTCTGGATGCAGTAGATCCATGCTCTCTGGAATTTGCTAAACAGGCTTGGAGCCATCCATTCCTTAAGCTTTTTTCAGAGGAGGGAAATTCTACCCGAATCACTCTCTCACTGCTTTCTTCCGCACTTACTCTTCTTCTTCTTTTGAAGTATTGTTCGTTCAAATCCTGAATGGCCTTAATTGATGTTTCCAGCCATTCCTGAATACCAAGATGGGATGCTTCAGGTCCTTCCTCTTCAAGGTTGTTTACAGTTGTTTGGAGCCATTCTTTGACATCTTGATTGTCTACTTCAAAACGTTCCTCTTCCAGGTTTTTCAAGGAATCTTGAAGCCATTTTTCTAGAACTGGCTTAGGTTCGGTAGAAGACAAGAGTCTTTCTAAAGATCTTTGAAGCCACGACAATATATTGTCCACAGGTCCTTCAGAAGATAGCTTCTTGAGGCTCTCTTTCGATTTTTCAAGCCATCCTTTTCTTGAACTGCTGCTTCGAAGTTCTGCCTCAGACTTTTGTAGGTCCTGAATGCCTTTGATGGATGCCTCAAGCCATTCCTGAGCACTTAGATGGGATGCTTCAGGTCCTTCCTCTTCAAGGTTGTTTACAGTTGTTTGGAGCCATTCTTTGACATCTTGATTGTCTACTTCAGAACGTTCCTCTTCCAGGTTTTTCAAGGAATCTTGAAGCCATTTTTCTAGAACTGGCTTAGGTTCGGTAGAAGACGAGAGTCTTTCTAAAGATCTTTGAAGCCACGACAATATATTGTCCACAGGTCCTTCAGAAGATTGCTTTTTGAGGCTCTCTATTGATTTTTCGAGCCATTCTTTCTTTAGGCTGCTTCGAGACTCCGTCTCAGACTTTTGGAGATCTTGAATGCTTTGAATAGAGGCCTCAAGCCATTCCTGCACATTCGGATGGGATGTTTCTGGACGTTCTTCTTGGAGTTGATTTAAGGACAAATTCAGCCAATCATTTATATCTTTCCTGGATGCTTCAGGAGATTCCTTCTGAAGATTTATCAGAGATTCTTTAAGCCATTCTGCCAGGCTGGGTCTTGATGCTTTATTAGAAACCTCTTTTAGGTTTTTCAGAGATTCCTCAAGCCACCCTAATACGTTTTCCCTGGATTCTTTGGACTTTTTGGTTTTCAGGTTCTCTATGGAAGCTTTAAGTGTGTTTTCTAAGAGTTGAGATTTCATCTTTTCCAGATCTTCTTTATCTTCTGGCTTTCTATCCTGTCCACTTGTTTGCCAGATACTTACAAAACACCTTCTGTGCTCTCTACTCAGAAGTGGTATTAACTGGTCTCTGCATAGTAATGACCTAGAGCAGTCCTTTCTCAGTTTTCTCTCTCTAGAAAAATCAGAATGTTAGATATGCATCTGGACCAATAACGAAATAGTCTTAGCTAACTCTAATGAGAAGTGCTTGTTGTCAGGAAACTCTGTCCAAAAGAATATTATTTTTTTGACAGTGAAGGGGTGGGGAGTTTAAAACACCTACCTTATACATATCTTTGGAAAAGTCCCATTCAGTTCCATGAGACTTACTCCTAGTTATGCATATGGAGGATTACAACTGTAATGAGTTGTAATTCATTAATTTTGTTCTCTCTGTTATCTTCCATGTGGGAGAGGGATATTACTTTCAATATTTGGTGAATTTGCTGAAGAGTGTTGTAAGAAATATTCAGCTACCCTGTTTCCCCGAAAATAAGACATCCCCTGATAATAAGCCCAATTGGGCTTTTGAGCACATGCACTAAAATAAACTTTCCCCCGAAAATAAGCCCTCCCGAAAATATTTAAAAGCACAGCTGGAAATCAAGTAAGACGGCAAGAGGAGCCCCATCTTGCTCCACGCACCCTAAAAAAATGAGACCTACCTAAAAATAAGGCCAAGCACTTATTTCGGGGTTCAAAAAAATATAAGACAGGATCTTATTTTCAGGGAAACATAGTAATAAGAATTGTCTTAAAACATCCATTGTAATTTTAATCTAAATGTTCATAAAATGGAATTTATATTTAACTGTAAACAAATGTCTATGGAGATTCTCAGTCATCCAGGTCATGGTTGTCCCAAAAGTAATTTTTCAAGAGGCAACTGGACTTTATTTGTTTTTCTTTGAAAACGTTTCACTTCTCATCCAGGAAGCTTCTTCAGAGCTCTTGAAAAAGCATCTTTGGAACTGTAACACAAACTTTTGAGTGATACTAAATAGGTTTGTGTATAGAGGCACAACAATTGTAATAATATCATCATACAAAATAATATTTTTTGGACTCTTTGGGAGGTTTTTTTTTTTTCCAGAATTATGGATGTTTATATTACAACAATATTTAATAATAACTGCTCATATGTAGCCTCCAGAATAATGAATCGTAAGGCTCTGCCTTATGGGAAGGGATGTTTAACCTACTACTATAATCAGCTTGATTAGTATCTAGCAATATGAATGAAGACAAATAGGTAATTTTTTCGATTAAGTGGTGAGATTGCACTGTGGATGTGAAGTTTCAATTTTATTTATTTCTTTATATCCTGATCGTCTATAATGCGAAGGAAACTGAAGGAAAAGAGCAGGCAGAGATGGAAGGTAGAATTAAACGCATCATTAGTTTAGAGGCATTGCTGTAAGAGATCCAAGGTCCCCTTGAATTCCATTGGCCTTTAACTTGTCTATAGCTTGAATAAAGGTTCAATGTTGTAAACTTATAGCAACAGCTCTTAGATTTATATACCACTTCACAGTGCTTTTACAGCCCTCTCTAAACGGTTTACAGTAGAGTCAGCCTACGGCCCCCAACAATCTGGGTCCTCATTTTACCCACCTCGGAAGGCGGATGGAAGGCTGAGTCAACCTTGAGCCGGTGAGATTCGAACTGCCAAATTGCAGGCAGCCGGCAGTCAGCAGAAGTAGCTTGAAATACTGCACTCTAACCACTGTGCCATTGTGGCTCATTATGGCTCTTAGGACCCTGATTCTTTGCACTTGATAGAAAGATGAAGCCAAATGTTACAAGTAAAAACTTTTTAAAACCCTTGAAATGATATATTTGTGTAGCAGGTCTGTTTTGGCCAGTGGACTCAAGATGAAGCTCCCTAAAGAGAGAATAACTATGGGGGACGAGACAAGAGCAACTTGGGGTCTGTATTAGGGGTTGATAACCCCCAGACCACATACAGATGTTGGGAGAACTATCCATCTGGTTCAGTTCCAAGTGGGGAGAAAGACACTGGAAATATGGAAGCTGATTGGAAAGATGGTTTAATGAAGCAGAGCCATCAAGCAGGTGGTACTGGTGCAACTGAACACATGGAACTGAGAGAGAGAGGTATTTATATCCTCTCTTGGGCTTTGAACTTGAGCTTCCTCTTCCTGTGACAAGGGCATCTATTCTATTGGTTGCTGTCGGACTCCCATGGGGCCATGTGGGGTCATGTTTGTCTGAATCAAGTTTGGTTAAAGCCTAGAAGGTGATGCAATGTCCCCAGGTGATTGTGCCCTGTGGGTGAGCTCTGCTGATAGATAATCCTATTATGTCCTGAAGGGCCATGTCTTAATCCCATCACCCTGGAGCTGAAGACCTTTTGTCTTGTAAATAGGCTGGCCCAGTCCTGCTGGGGCTATTAACAAAGGTGGGGGCTGCTTTCCAAGAGCATGTTTCTCCTTTAGGGAAATATAATATTCTGCCTTTTATAATATTTCTCAAAATATTTCATTCTTCTAGGAGTGGGGTGGTTGCTAACTTTCTACACAGAGATGAACCACAATTTTGCAACACGCACATCCACTGGGAATACTGTCTGCTTTCCCCACCAGTGATCTGTGTAAGGAGTGAAGGGGAGGTTAATTTATTTATTTAAAAACATCTTTTATTTCCCTCCCAACAGTTGTTCCAGGGTTAGGGTTAGGGTTAGGGTTAGGGAATTCAACCCAGAAGGCTGAATATCGTATATGTCCAGGAAAGGGAGCTAAATAGAATTTAATTTGAAAATCTGGGGGGGAAAGTCATGGTTGCTATCTAAAAATTTCTCACCTGCTTAATTTTTCATCAAAATATTCGCAAAGTTGCTGTTTCTCTCCTTGCAGTTGGAGACTGACTCCTACAAGCTCCTTATTCTCATATTGGAGCTTACCTCTGTCTGACAGCAGGTCACAAATTATCCTCTTCTGCCTGCAAAATATGAAGACGTGACTAAAATTAGCCCCTTAGATTTTTATTCTTGAATAATTAAACTTGTTTAAAATTTTTAAAAAATTAATAACACCTCTCATTCCCCCCCCCCCCCCAGTGTTGTTCCAGGCAATGGACTTCAACACAGAAATATGTAATGTATGAGCAGGAGAGGGAGCTAAAGAGAATTTAATAGAGAAATTTGGAAGAGAAAGTCAGGGTTGCTATCTAAAAATTTCTCACATGCTCAGTTCTTCTTCGAAATGTTCACAGATTCTTTGTTTTTCTTCACATATTCCTAAAAGCTCTTTGTTCTCACGGTTCAGTTTTTCTCTGTCCGACAAGAGATTTGAAATTATCGTTGTTCTTCTGCAAATTACGAAGATCATGGTGAAATTAGTTCCTTTATTTATTTTTTTAACTTGGATCAGCTATTTTCCAAATTTAAAAAAAATGTGAGCATAAAGACATCATCAAAATTACACCAATGTGGAATTCAAAGCACTGCCTCTCCCATGCTACATCCATTCCATTCCAGAATTGGCTTGATGCACTATTTATACTGTCTGCAGCTAGCACAGATATTCCTCGAATTATTTTGAATTGTGAGAAAATAACAATTGCCCCCATATTCTGATTTCTGGTGTTTTGTTCCTCCTCTGCTGGAGAATTTCAGCACTAAGTTCTCTACTGTTACAATCACACTGAATGCAGACTGCACTTAAGTAATGCCAAACTTAGTGAATATTATTGATTTTTTAAAAAAATATAATCTGGCTTGTTCTATACACTTGTTCTCAAAGTGTAGTTACTTAGTAAGTTTATACAAAGATTTGAAGAAATACTTCTCCTTGAGAAAGCTTTTATCATCTCATGATAACATACTCACAAATGAAACTATACCATCATTGAGATACTGATCAATACTGACTTGACGGTCAAATAATCCATCAAGATAATAAACAGCAAATAATTACAAAATACCCTTCACAAGTCATTCTGAAGAGAGTATCTAAAATATTTGTGGGACGTGTATATATGCAATTACAATTAGAAAAGTTATCTTACACTTTAATATACAATTATTTACCCTACATACTGTATTTATTATAGTTTATTGTCTCAGTTGTAATGGATTATATAATATGGAATATCCTCTTAAAGCAGTGATGGTTAACCTTTTCGCCACTGAGTGCTGAAACTGGAGCACACACTGGAGCCAGACCCCAGAAGCGAGCAGCTGGCCAGTGCGCATGTGCTGCAGCCAGCTGCTTTTCCAGGTTCTATCGCGCACATGCGCACCAGACAGCTGGTCTTTATTTATTTTATTTATTTGTTTGTTTGTCAAACATGTACAGTTAACAAGTATAGGTATGAACATAAACATAAACAAAGGAAGTAAATACAAATAAATGGGGACAATAAGACAGGGATGGTAGGCATGCTGGTCTTTGATGAAACCTGGAAGAGCGCGCAACAGAACCTGGAAAGCAGCTGGAAACGGCGCATATGCTCACAGAGAAGGTTCTGCGTGCCACCTGTGGCACACGTGCCATAGGTTCAACATCACTGCTCTAAGATGTATAAATAATGGTGAACACACACAGTATTCTCACAGGTGAAATTTCTTTTAATCTTACTTATCTCAGTAGGAATTATTTGAGAGATTAAAGTCTTCCCTTAAAACTCCTAGGACAGTGATGGCAAATCTTTTTGCCGTCGCGTGCCAAAAGCGGGGGGGGTGGGGGTGCGGGCAGTAGTGGATTTCAATTTTGTTTGTTACTGGTTTGCTCACAGCGCTCGTGCGCAACACTTCTGGGCATGCGTAGACGTCCGGGCGGGTAGGCGGAGCCTCCCGCTGCCACCGGTTCACCCAATCCGGTAGCAACCCACCACTGAGCGCGCGGGGGGGTCGCATGCACACGTGCCCAACCCATAATGCAATACATCCCCACACACCCTGTCTTGTGCATTGGTGCATGACTCACCCTGTGCTACCCCACCCCCTGTGCATGCCCCCACGCCCACAACTCCCCCACGCCCTCTTTTTGGCCTAGCAGGCCTCCCTGAAGCCTCCAGAGGCCGGAAAGGGCCCATTTCCGGACTTCCAGTAGGCCCGTTTATCGTCCTCCCAGAGTCTCTGCGCGAACCCTGTACTTACCTGGCATCTAAAACGGGCCGCGTGGAGGCTCCTGGGAGGGGCAGGAGCACGTGTCTCCCACATGTGCGGCAGAAACCCGAAAATCAGCTGGCCCAGCGGGAGGCACGCACATATGCGTGGTGGAGCTAATCTAGGGCGATGGCTCTCCTGCCCGCAGAAATGGGTCCGCGTGCCACCTGTAGCATGTGTGCCATAGGTCTGCCATCAGGGTCCTAGGATATTCAATCATTCAGTCTGGTTTGGATTCAATCTAGATATGAGGCTATAAATGACTGCCATAAGGCAAACTATGGTACAGGTAGTCCTTGACTTTTGACTATAATTGAGCCCAACATTTCTGTTGTTAAGTGAGACATTTGATAAGTGAGTTTTCCTCCCATTTTTTGACCTTTTTTGCCATTTTTTTTAAGTGAATCACTGCAATTGTTAAATTAATAACATGGTTTTAAAAACAGGTATTTATAAGAGTTATAGCATCCGGGGTCCTGTGATCTCCATTTGCAGCCTTCCAACAAGCAAAGTCAATGTGAGAAGCCAGATTCACTTAGTGATTGCCAGACTCACATAACAAGTGCAGTGATTTTCTTAAAGACTATAGGTAGTCCTCTACTTAGGACCACAACTAAGTCCAAAATTTCTGTTAAGTGAGACATTTGTGAATTTTGCCCCGTTTTATGACCTTCCTTGCCTGAGTTGTTAAGTGAATCACTGCAGTTGATAAGGTAGTAACATGGTTGTTAAGTGAATCTGGCTTCCCCATTGACTTTGCTTGCCAGAGGGTCACAAAAGGGGATCACGTGACCCCAGGATCGTGCAACCGTCGTAAATTTGAGTTAGTTTCCCAGCGCCTTAATTTTGATCACGTGACCACACTTTTTCACACTTTCATAATAGCTGTGTGAAAAACAACCAGGTCACTTTTTTCAGTGCCTTTGTAACTTTGAATGGTCACTAAACGAATTGTTGTAAATCGAGGACTACCTGTACATTTTATAATGTGTGTCTACGGGAGGGAGCTAAAGAGGATTTAATATGAAATTCCAAAGGAGAAAGTCAGGGTTGCTATCTAAACCAGGGGTGTCAAACTCGATTTTATTGAGGGCTGCATCAGGGTTAGTTTGACCTTGGGGGGGTCGGATGCTCATGGCAGGGGTGGGGGTGGCCAGCTCGACATCTCTTGTGTCGGGGAGTACCTGTGGTGGATGGGAGGGGCTGGGGATCCATTGTCTCCTTTCCTTCCTTCCTTCCTTCTTTTTTCCTTCCCTCTTCATTCTCCTATCTTCTTCCTTCCCCTCTTTCCTTCTTTTTCCTTCCTTGCTCTCTTCCCATCTTCCCTTCTTTTTCTTTGCATTTCCTCTTCCCCTTTCTCCTTTCCTGTCCCTTCTTGGATGCTCAAATGCAAAAAGGAAAACATTTCTCCTTTTGTTTTGGTTTGCTTTCGGTTTGTTTTGCTAGCCCTCTGCCAGCGAAAATAGAGCCCCCACCCCACCCCTCCCAAGTTCCATTTTCACTGGCAGAGGGCTACAGGAGGCCATCACGGCCAAAAACAGGGCCCAGGGCAGCTGCGCACAGACCCCTCGGGCTTCATTTTTGCTGTCAATGACATCGTGGGCCGGTCCTTCACTGTTACCAGGGCGGTCTCGCAGGCCAGATTTAAGCCTTGAGTTTGACACCTCTGATCTAAACATTTCTCACCTCCTCAGTTCTTCCTCAAATTGTTCACTGAGTTGCTCTTTCTCTCCTTTCAACTGAAGACTGATTCGTACAAGCTCCTTTTTCTCATGCTGGAACTTTTCTCTGTCCAACAACAGATTTGAAATTGTTGTTGTTTTTCTGTAGATTATCGTTGATTTCCTGTAAATTATGAAAACACAATGACATTAGTTCCCTTATCTTTTTACTTGAATCAGCAAACCTTTTTCAATTAAAAATTTCATATATGTATGGTTATGTATTTATGTATGTGTGTGTGTGTGTGTATTGAAATTTGATGAAATTTCTTTTAATTCTTTTAATCTAACTCTAATTACAAGTCTAGTTTGACTTAAGTCCCCTCTTAAAACTCCTAGGACCGTGATGACGAACCTCTGTCACGCGTGCCAGAGGTGGCATGCAGTGCCCTCTCAGATGGCAGGTGAGCCGTCACCCCAGTTCAGTTCTACCATGCATGCGTGCACGCCTCCCACTGGCCAGCTGGTCTTCGGGTCTCTGCCGCGAATGCACGGGGGGGGGCGTGGAGGGTCTGTGTGCATTGCATTTTGGCGGTTTGGGCACATGCATGCACATCACACATGCAAGCCCACGCTTTGGGCACTGGATCCAGAAAAGGTTAGCCATCACTGTCCCAGGATGTTCAATCATTCAGTTTGGATTTAATCTAGTTATCAGTATTGAAATTTGATGAAATTTCTTTTAATCTATCTTATTTCTGTATGATTTATTTGAGGAAATTGAAGTCGTCCCTTAAAACTCGCAGAAGATTCAATCATTCAGTTGGGATTTAATCTAGTTATCAGGCTAAAAAAATGGCTGCCATTAGGTAAACTTTAGTACTCGGTGGATGTAAAGAATGTAACACAAAAAAGGAGAAAATTCTTGGCAACTGAAAGTACACCTTTCTAAGATGAAAGTACATCACATAAAGGCAGTTATGACCATGCCAAGACTTACTTAAAATCCAGGTCTTTCGCCTTCTTTAGCTCATCTTGCTGGCACTTAATTTTCGTCTGAAGAGTCTGGAAAAGTCAAAATATATTACAAGTGAAGTGAAGCTGTATACGTGTGTGTGTATGTTTCCCCTCTTATTGCAACATGAAATATTTTTCAGGCTATATTCTCAAGATTAACGTTCTTTCTGCACCAAATCAGAAAGCTCAGATTGCCCAAGGAGCTGCTGATTCAGTTCTACAGAGGAACTATAGAGTATGTCCTCTGCACCTCCATAACTGTATGGTTTGGCTCTGCAACCCAACAAGACAGACACAGACTTCAAAGGATAATTAGAACGGCAGAAAAAACGATGGCCACCAACCTGCCTTCCGCTGAGGACCTGTATACTGCACGAATCAAAAAGAGGGCTGTGAAAATATCTACAGACCCCTCACATCCTGGACATAAATTGTTTCAACTCCTACCCTCAAAACAATGCTATAGGGCACTGCACACCAGAACAACTGGACACAAGGACAGTTTGTTCCCGAATGCAATCACTCTGCTTAAAAACTAATTCCCACAACACTGTCAAACTATTTACTAAGGCTGTATTACTATTATTATTCTCATCCTTCCCTATTCCCTGTCTCCTTTTCTCCTTATGACTATAACTTTGTTCCTTGTGTCTTTACAATTTATATTGTTTTATTTAGTTTCCGAGTATGTTTTTTGTTGACTGCTTATTTAGTATCCTATCACTATCACCAAGCGTTGCATCTTATGACTCATGATGAATGTTGAATTTATTTATGATTATGATCATGATTTATCACTTTATAGCTTTTATGTACACTGAGAGCTTATGCCCCAAAGACAAATTCCTTATGTGTCCAAGAATTCTATACATATATAAAGCAACAATCAACTTTTCGAAAAGAATCTTGTTGTGTGGGAAAACTGATCCCTCTGGCTGATTTGTTAACATGTGAAAACCATGATGTATCCTTTAAGAGATGCTGCCTAAGGAGCCATCAGATAAGAGATAGCAGAGCCTGCAGTGGCCTAATGGGTGGGGAGAAGATATTTTTCTCTTAAGTTCTCAGACCATAAAGGAGGCAGTGGGAGAATTGGCCTCCAGACTTGCAGGGTTCTTTCAATGTAGCCTGACAGCAAAGAAGAATTACCGTATTTTTCGGAGTATAAGACGCACCTACCTTTTTTGGTGAGGAAAAGAAAAAAAGAAATCTCCCTCTGCCTCTGAGCAATTTTGCCTCATTGCAGCAAACAGCAAACAGCCTGCTTTACTTTCATTTTTGTTTTCAGCATAGCTTGATTAGCACAAGGTATTTGCTCCAGCAGTTTACCTCTTTGCAGCAAGCAGCTGCGCAAAACAGCTGAGAGCAAATCAGCTGAGAGTCGAGAGGCCGATCCATTCAACTTGTGCTAATTAGGCTGTGCTGAAACTAAAAGGAGCTCTTTTTTCTTGTTTTTTGCTTGCAAGGAGGTAACTGCTGCGAGGCAGAGGCCAAAGGGTAGGAGTGGTCGGGGCTACATTTGGTGTATAAGACGCACCTAAATTTTCACCCCCTTTTAGGGGGGGGAAAGGTGTGTCTTATACTCCGAAAAATATTGTATCTCATCTGGTTGTTGTTTCCTGTCTGGTCTACCTGGAAAAGTTGACAGTCCATGGTGATCAGACTCCAATTAAGCCCTCCCCTAAGAAGCAGTATTATGTTGCCAAAACTCTCTTGACCCAAAAAAGAACACAATCTGAATAACATCTACGGATAGTAATTTGTAGAAGTGCACAGATAGACACCCTCATTATAATGTCAATAAGAACACAATACAGTTGGGGACACATCTGTGGGCCATGTCTGCACTCCCTGCTTTCTCTAATACAGGGGTCTCCAACCCTGAGCCTGGAGGACCGTTTGCACATTTGTCTGAAATGTCTGTGGAGATTCTCAGTCATCCAGGTCATGGTTGTCCCAAAGGTTTTTTCTTTGCAAGCAGCAGCTGGACTTTCTGGTTTTGCTTCTCATCCAAGAAGCTTCTTCAGTTCAACATTTGTCTGAAACGGTATAGGATTTCCAGCTTGAGCAGAGGGTTGGACTAGAAGACCTCCAAGGTCCCTTCCAACTCTGTTCATTCTGTTCATGGTTAATGTATATGGTATACCTCAATCAGTCTCTTCTGTTCCACCAAATGCCTTTGTATTACGAAATGTTCTTCCTGCAAAATCGACAAAATACACTATTTTAAAGTGACAAGCTGATCAACAGCAATTAAAGACACTGATTTTTCTAACAATGGGGATGTGGGGATGGGGGAGAGGCAATGCTAACCATTATTTCTTCATCCTTCAATCTTAGGTGCCAACTGATGTTCTGACCCAGCCTTAGCAGAAGCTAGAAATAGACTCCCTGTCACGCTAAAAAACACTCTTTATTTACCTCTTGTGAATTAATGGCATTCACCCACCGAAAAGCCCAAGCAAGAGTCCTGCAAGGAGTTAACGGCAGCAACAGACCTTATCAGTTCCTTGCAGTGGTGAAATTCAATTTTTTTTACTACCAGTTCTGTGGGCGTGGCTTGGTGGGCGTGGCAGGGGAAGGATACTGCAAAATCTCCATTCCCACCTAACTATGGGAGCAGCCAGAGGTGGTATTTGCCGGTTCTCCAAACTACTCAAAATTTCTGCTACCAGTTCTCCAGAACCTGCTGGGTTTCACCCCTTGGTTCCTTGCAATAATTGCCAGGCCCTGAGCTCTCAGCCGAAAAGCTGCAAATTAGGTTCTGGCAAGCAGTCTTTGATTAAACGAAACACAATGAGCAAAATCTTCAGAAATATGAACTGTTGTCTCTTATGACAACCACTCCCGTTTCCTTCTATTTATTTCCCAGCCAGGGAGGGGCCATTCAGCATCCACATGTGCTTTGCTTCCTGAGTCGACTCCTTGTCCTCCTTTGTTCACTTCTCCTAACTGCTCTGTGCATATGTGAGTCTAGAACAGGCCCCAGCTGTTCTTCTTCAGTCATATCAGCCTCCAAAGGCAGCTGCCTCTCCGGTGGCTGGGAAATGTCAGACGGCCCTGACTCTATCTCTGCATCTGACGCAGAGCATCCATCAGAGCCTTCCCCAGACTCCAGTACTGGCCCAAGTTCCTCCCCAACCTCCTCATTGTCCGAGTCTGCTGCCAGCTCCGCAACTGATACTGCTGGTACTCAGACTTTGCACACTTGCCTGAAAATGCACGTCACTGAATAAAAGAAGATTTATTTTGATATTGCTCTGTCTGTACTGACACTGAAGCTGCAGTCCTTGTTGGCATCATTTATTTTCATCTCCTATTTTTTTACATCCTGATGGGGTGGGTTATTAGGCAGCCTGTATACTATTTTGTGGCATTGTGGGTTTTCTCAATAAAGTTACTTACTCCTTAAATGGGAGGGGAGGGGGGGGCACAATGGCTCAGCAGTTAAAATGCTGGGCTTGTCAGCTGGGTTCAAGACCTGAACGCTGCGCGATGGGGTGAGCTATTACTCATCCCAGCTCCTGCCCACTTAGGAGTACGAAAGCATGCAAATGCAAGTAGATAAATAGGTACCATTTCAGCAGGAAAGTTACTGCATTCCATAATTTCATGCTGGCCACATGATGATGGAAGCGTCTCTCAGACTGTGTAAGGCAAACTTGGCTGAGAATCGGGAGACTGGACAGGGGAAACCTTTAAACCTTTACTCCTGAAATAATTATTGTTTTTCATTACAGTCTTTTTCTTCCACAATCACCGAAGTAGAAAAGAGAAAATCTTATTTTTGGCAAGTTCATTTGCAATCATAAAATGCACTCAGGATAATTATAAAATTACTCCAGATCTCATCAACGTATTAATAGTAGATCACATTGTTCCATTTTTAGACTTAGTTTCTAAAATTAAGTAAATCAGTATGATACTTTTGGTGACAAATCCTACCAGGAAATGAAATTCAACTTATTTCAAAGGAAATTGGACAGTAAAAACTGAGAACAGGATTGCAGCTCACATTCTTAATAAATTTGAATTATTTTCTCAATTAAAAATGCTTTCATTTATCAGATTTATGACATTTTTCACTGATCTACCAACCTACTACTTACATGTATCTATATTTACCTACCTACCTACCTACCTACCTACCTACCTACCTACATCTATCTATCTATCTATCTATCTATCTATCTATCTATCTATCTATCTATCTATCATGATCTCATGAAATAGGTTGCATTATTTCCATCATTTTATCAATAAGAAATTGTTATTGAAAGTGAAAGTAGTGAATCCATATCTCATCCAGATCCAAATGTGATAATTAACCATTTATTTTGGACCCAAATTCTGGGTGAAAAGCTATAGTAAGGAATTCTCAGGTTTATGTTTAGATAAAGTCCCTTTTATCGAGTGAGCTTATAATTAAGGAATATAATAAAGATATACAAACATAGATTCATTATTCAGCCAGACAATGGCAGATGGTTAAAGCAGCAATTTCATTTTATTTTTGTTGGAATTTCCAAGCTTCAACTCTAGGAACAAGAAGTAGGTGCAGATCTCCTACGTACAGGTAGTCCTTGACTTCTTACCACAATTGAGCCCAAAATGTATTTTGAGTGAGACGAATTAACTTTTGCCTCATTTTACGACTTAACAGTTGCCATATATTAAGTAAGTTTTACAAGTTTTCTTATTACAGTTGTTAAGTGAAGCAATGCAGTTGATAATTTAATTACCCCATTGTTAAATAAATAAATCTGGCTTCCAGATTTGCTTGTCAGGTCGCAAAAGGTGACCTGACATTGCTTGGGACACAGCAATGGTCATAAATATTTATTAATAAATATTAATAAATGTTTGTGTGTCTATATTTTTCTTGACTGTACACCGCCTTGAGTCCTACGGGAGAAAGGCGGTATAGAAATATAATAAATAAATAAATAAATAAATAAATAAATAAATAAGAACTGTAACATAAATATGAACTGAATTGTAACTTTGAACTGTCACTAGATAAGCTGTTGTAAATTGAGGCCTAATTGATCCAAGGTTAAATAAATATGGGAATTAGCTACGCTCACTCCGTGTTCCTGGATTGAGGCTAGATTTGTTATAGTTTCATGGGAAGCAGAACAAACTTGAGAGAGCCTGGTGCTTCCCCAGTGATGTTCAGTGTTGGGATTTATAGATGGGCACCCTGTTTGCCGTTAGACTATCTAGCGCCTTCCTAGCCTCCCAAAATGCTTGCTTGGAAAGAGGAACTAAGATTCCCTAGTGCCTGTATGTGAGGTAGTATCCGTCTGCTCCTTGCAGAGGCCACAACTGATGGCTTCTTGCAGGAAACTTTCCTAGGAACAGAGATGGAGATGAGAGCGCCTGAGGGGTTAAATAACAAGTAGGATAAATATCCTTCGGGAGTAGGGCGGTATAGAAATTTGATTAATAAATAAATAAATAATATACTGAAACACCGCTTATGCATTTTGTAAAAGCTTGGATCATGTGTTCCCTTTCACAAGGTCAGAGGCACATGGGGCACAATTAAAAAAGAACTTCAGTAGTTCAATCATGACTTCCAGTTTGTCTCCCCTGCCGATACTCCTAATTTTTCTTTTAAAATGTGTCTAAAGAATATGCTATTGTTCTTTAATCATCACATTTCTGATTATCGGAGTAATGGTAACCAACATTTTGGCTTAGGGTTAAAAAAATGGGTATAAGGGTTCAGTTCTTAATAGAATATATAACAACCCTCTTTCCCTCCCGCACGTATGGCCATTCAGATGTCAATCCCACTGAAATATCTCTAATGCTGCGGAATTAGTAAATATATCCTTATTATCTTATCACCACATTGATCTCCGTAAGAGATCATGGCCACCAGAAGCGGGAGACATTTCCTTTCTAAAACCCAACCAGTCACGTACGAAAACTCTTTCGCATTTCTTGACAACGTACATTCAACTTTTCCAGATGACAGATTGCTAACCTGGTGGCAATGTTTGGTGAAGTGTAAATCACGATCTGCCTCTTGCTCACGAAGCCCACGTGTGGGGGTATCTTCCAGATTCTTGGAAAACTGGCAATGGCGTGATGTATAGAGCTGGAAAGCAATTAAAGTCTTAAGGATTGATAAAATATGCTGGTAAGTGTAATGAAATGTTCAGGTTTTGTTAAGTTGACTCTGCCACTATTGAACACTTCATTATTGTTTTTGTTATCCTACAGTCTTAGAAACAGACATATCAGAGTTATCAGAATAGATTTATTTCCTCTGTCACTTTCCCAACGGGTAGTAAGGGAGCACCAGCCAGAATTGAGATCAGATTAATTCAATGTACTCTGTAAGTTAAACATCTTTGATAAATGAGGATATATGAGGATGCTCAAACGTGCCTTAGCAAGTAACAACAGTAACAAAAACATTGGTGAAGGGGAACACACATTTTTTTTAAAAAATGTACTTTCCATTCTAGCACCTTAAGTATAGACACTGAATTAATTTGTAAGGAAATACAGGTAAACCTTGACTTACAACAGATCATATAGTAAAGTGGAAGTTATAATGGCACTGAAAAAAGTTACTTAAAAAGTAACCCAATCAAGAGGAGTCATATTTGTATTTGCCAGACCGTTTGCAGCACGACTACTATTAGGAGACAACTCAGGAGCAAAACACAGCACACAGAGACTTAGACATTTAACAGTGGTTTAAATACAGGACATATACAGAAATATCCGTGGTAAGTAAATACCTTACAAGCATTCAATCTTCTTACCTTACACGAGGACTCAGCAATGAATACAGGACACAAGGAAAGAGAATCCGCCCTCTCCTGGCTGCCTTTATATAAACACCTCTTAAAGGGGTAAGAGACTTTTGTGGACCCTATCAGGGTCTTACATTGGTCACACAGATGCTGATTCATTCTTATTACATCATCCTTACATTTCATCAGCTTTACAGTTGCATCAGCTTTACATTGGCTGGTCAGCTTGAAGCCATCATTACCCTGACCATTTTCATTATTAATGTTTACCGGCTACAATTATATATTATATACCTCAATACGTCTCCTTTCTGCCACTGAAGTTGTTACTTTGGAAAGTCTTGATAGTTCTTCCTGCAACATTAACAAAATACACTATTTTCCCCACTATGTTGGAAATGTAAACATCAAAAAGGAACTTATTATCACATGTGGTGGTCCTGCCAGAAGGCAAAACAATTTTGGCAAACAATTAAAATACAAATAGAAGAAATTATAAATCAACAAATAGAAATGAGGCCAGAAACTTTCTTACTGGGAATAATTACCAGGACATATGAAAAAAAATAAGATACTTAATTATTCACATAATGACAGCAGCACAAATAGTTTTCGCTCAAAACTGGAAAAACAATGACATACCATCAGAAGACAAGGTGATTAGAAAAATTATGGAATGTGCGGAAATGGATAAGCTCACAAAGGAGATAAAAGAAAAAGATGAAAGATTATTATTTAGTTTGGGAGAAATGGTATAAATGGTTGGAGGAGAAAGGGGGGAAAAAGGGGGGGAAGAAAACTAAACAATGGTTAAATTAGGTGGAGAATTATGGAAACAAATGGGAAGATATAAATTGTGGAAAGGAAACTAGGTACCTGTTTTTGTTAAATGTAAATACTTAGATTAAGAGAATATATATATATATATGATATACTAGGAATATATGTATAAGAGATACATTAAGATAAGAAAGAAAATGTATATAGATTACTGATGCGAAAATGTTGAAAAGAAGATGGATTTGTTTCTTTTGTTGTTTGTAGATTTGTTTGTTTGTTCGTATTAAAAAAATGTTTAATAAAAATTATATCTATATAAAAAAACAAAATACACTATTTTAAAAACTTGCTATTAGCATTAGACACTAATTTTTCAAATAAATATTTGTTTGGGAGGGAGGGAGGGGGGGGTTGATTTTAATCATTGTTTTTCTGTCCTCAAAGCTTAGTTGCCAACTGATATCTCTGGCACCTAAACTCTGGACACTTGCCTAAAAGTATACACCACTGAATAAAATGAAAGATTTTGATATTCCTGTCTATCTGTTTACACTGTTACCAGCATTTAATTCAGACTCTGTAGCTGCAACCTCTGTTGGCATAATTTTTTTCCCTCCTCATCTCTATTATTTTACAGCCTGATGAGCTGGAGCATTAAACAGCCTGCTGTTTTGTGGTATTTTAGTCATGTTAATAAAATGACTTACTCCTTAAGTTATCATTTTCCATTAAAGTTTTTTTAACTCACAATCAACAAATAGATCAACATGCTATAGAGCAGGGATGGCGAACCTTTTTGGCACCGAGTGCCTTAAAGGTCATGCAGAAACGTTGCGCAAGTGTGCACGCGCTCGCCAGGGCCGCACTCCAGTTTCTAGCGTGCATGTGCGCCTGATAATCAGCTGACTGGTGCACATGCACAGACTGGTTTTTTGAACTGCCATGTGTGTGAAGGGTTCGCGCTCCGGAAAAGCCGAACTTCCAGGTTCTAGCATGCATGCACGCCTGACGATCACCTGTCACACCGGTTTTTGGCACTGCCACGAGCATGAAGGACAGCTGATCATTGCGCGCGCACACGTGCCAGAAACCTGGAAGACAAACAGGCAAGGCCGTGTGTGCCAGGAGACATGGCTTCGTGTGTCACCTTGGGCACATGTGCCATAGGTTCACCATCATGGCTATAGAGACTCTGGGTCTCTCTCTTATTTTTCCTTCCATTCATTTATGTTTGATTCTGCCTGAACAAATTCCTGTTGTTTTTCCTTTTTCAGAAGTGGTTTGGCATTGCATCCTTCGCAGGGCTGAAAGAAAGTGACTGGCCCAAGGTTATCCAGTCAGCTTTATGCCTAAAGCTAGATGAGAATTCCCAGTATACCCATTTCATGACATGGGGATTAAGGCAACTAACATAAGCTAAAAATGTATTTTAAAAAAATAAAGCACAGAACCAAAACCTATAACAGCAAACAGAAACCACAATGAATAGACTGTCTACTTGGGTGACAATAGCATTTAATATGATGTGTGAACAAAGCATTTTCCCTACCTCTTCTTGAAGACGCTTCATAGCGTTCCTCATTCTTCGCTTGAAACTTCCCTCCATCATTCTATAACAATGATAGATGGCTAAAAGATAAAATAGTAGGTGAAAAAGCACAATAATATTAACAATTATTTTGGAAAATCAGAATATAGGTTTTCAGAGACAGTATCCAGAATAGCCCATAATAATTTAAATGTATTTGTCCTCCAGTTCTGAATGATCCTTCAGGACAGGAGTTCGACAGCCAGGCCAATTTATAATTTCACAATAAGTCACAATAATGAAAAATGTGATTGGTAAATTAAAATACAAACAATAAAATCATTGGCCCCTAAAGTCCAGACTAAAAATAAGTGTTTTTAAATGTATTGTATAAAGACAGAGAGAGCAGTAGCCAAAGGCAACGGCTTCACGAGAGCCTTCCAAACTCTGGGAATAATGCAGGAAAAGGCCATCTTCTACCTGCCTAATACCACCAGACTCAAAAAGCCAGATTTTGACATCTGCTGCAACACCTTCTCTTGGGCAGCCAGGATCTTTAAAAAGGCAGTTCCCCTTTGCCTCCCCTAATAACCTAGGGAGATACTGTTGGAGGTATGATATTGCCCATCAACATCCAGGAGTTTTTGGGAAGGGATGTGGTTGTCTCAGTGGTTTATTTAGAAGTGAGATCCCCCCCCCCCGCCAAGACAAAGGATCTATGGCATACAAAACATTTGCTAGACCAATTCTTGAATACAGCTCATCTGCCTGGAACCCACACTGCATATCGGACATAAATGCAATCAAGAGTCCAGAGATATTTTACGAGAAGAGTCCTCCATTCCTCTAACTGCAATAAAATACCTTATGCCACCAGACTTCAAATTTTGGGCTTAGACAACTTAGAATTACGCCGACTTCAGTCTCACCTAAGCATAGTACATAAAATTATCTGCCACAATGTACTTCCTGTCAATGACTACTTCAGCTTCAACCACAACAATACACGAGCAAATAATAGATACAAACTCAAGTTAAACTGTTCCAAACTTGATTGCAGAAAATATGACTTCAGCAACAGAGTGGTCAATGCCTGGAATGCACTACCTGACTCTGTAGTTTCTTCCCCAAATCCCCAAAACTTTAACCTTAAACTTTCTACTGTTGACCTCACCCCATTCCTAAGAGGTCTGTAAGGGGCATGCATAAGCGTCCCAATGTGCCTACCGTCCCTGTCCTAATATTCCTTTTTACTTACTCTTTTCATGTATTCAAACTATGTTTATACTTTTACCTGTTATCTTATACTGTATATGCTTAACTAATAAACTTATGATTATAATTATGAACTTGGGGTGCTATTCATTCGCTTGATGAGGGCTGCAAGGATTGTACTTGCCAGGCACTGGAAAGAAAGACGACTGTTGAAAAATGGATTTTAAAATTGACTGAATTAGCAAAGATGGAGAGATGAACTGCTTTGATCAGAGATAATGGACTAGACAGCTTTATAAGAGCCTGGAAACCGTTTGTTTACAATAACAGATGGTTAATGGAAGGATTTGAAAATTAGTGTAATGTTTAGCTTAACTTGTTGACTACTCTTTTCTATATTTTTTTTTCAGAGTCCAGCCAGGGTAGATTCTATATGTTAATTTATTTGGTATTTGGATCACATTTTCTCTCTCTCTCTCTCTCTCTTTTTGTACACCAATTTTTTCCCTTTGTTGTTGTTGTTAATGCTGGGTGTAAATTTTTGTTTTGTTCGTTTTTCTTTTTTGTATTTTACCTTTTATGATAAAACAAAATAAATATACCTAAAGAGAATCTCTGCTATCATTAAACTCCATTTTAAATGTCTATTAGAGAACTTGTGAGCCACTGAATCTTCTCTTCAGAGCTGTTTCCTTACCGGGATACTCAAGGCCTTTGCAAGGATAGACACCTTCACTCCAGAAGCTGGCCTGCACTCAAAGATGGGTGACAATATATATAGCACAGTCCAATGACAGCACAGGAAATCTTTCATGACAGTTTGTATTATGACATGATCTTTGATCTAGCTAAGGACAGATCCTGGGTGTGCACCCCCAGAACCCACACAGTAGCTTTGGGTAGCTTTAAATATGAAAGGTTTGGAAGCTAAAAACAGAGATCCTAAGAGTCTCAGGTGGCATCTAAGATATTTGGTAGCAGGTTTCACGATCCGCCATTCGTCAATAGCACTCCATGGACATTTTGTGCAGGATATTCTTGCTCATCTGAGGAACACGGTTGATCAGGCTCCCTGCCTCCAGTATTCCTGAACACTGGATTGTCAATACAAACTCTGCTGGTCCAGTTGTGATGCTAATTCAGTTCATGATTTAGAACGGTTTGTATACCCTGACAATCATTTGCTAGGCTCCAAGCCACCCGAAAAAGACAAACAAGGCAGTGATGGTCCTAGCTGGCAAAGTTTCTAGATTATTTCTTTAAAAGGAGCTGCTGATCTTGATTGTTTTGAATATGTCAAGGCTTCTACTGCTGCTGTTTATTTTCTAGACTATTTTTTAGACCATTGAGTAGTGTTTTTGCTGTCACTTTTTTTTCAGGCCCCCAAGCCTCTTTGGTTATAGTTTCTCTGACATTCAGAGTAGGAATGCCAGAAATAAGAAGAAGAAATAATAATAAATGCTAAATAAATCTTACTAGAGAAGATTTTTATATCTGGCAGATTAATGTAATCATTGCTACTCATCTCTGCAAAAAGAGGCAGGTTTTGCTCCTTTTGCTAAAATGTCTACAAAATCTTTTTAAGGAGAAATATTGTGTTGGGGTATGTCAGTTGTGTGGGTAGAGACATCTCTTTAGAGACTTCTCCAGTGAAAGTAATTTAGAGAACAATATTCCATTTTGAACTCAGAAATGAAAAAGTCACTATCTAAAGTTAATGCAGGACGACTGAAGAGATTGGCCAGAGATCCCATATCTCTGCCTACCTCTCGAAAGGACTGTACAGAAAGCAGTTATTATTGAGTTAAGATTGGCTTGTAGACCTCTGGAACAAGCAAAGGTAACAGACTTCCACCATCACTGCCACAAAGAGAAAAGGAGGTGCCTGGATCTTTTGCCATCTTTTCTTCCTTTTAATTCTGAGGATTTCATCAGATGCGTCACCACCTCCATCCAACACAACATTAAGGCTGTATGTGGCACACAGGCAACGATGCAAAAACCACACTTATGATGCCTAATAAAAAAACCTCTAATCCTCACATGCTGGATGTCCATATTTGAGGCAAAGTAAAGGTGATGATACAAGTTATTTCCATCAATTATTAATTTTGCATTTCTCAGCTGCAGGTCAGCAAAGAATTTGCTATGTTCCCTTGCATAACTAATAATGCCAATGATGCCCATTCTTGTTAGCTTGAGTTCCTGTTAAAGGAAAAGAAGAAAAAAAGAATCTCTCAGAGACAGACAACATGACATGGAATAAAGTGGGAGACATTAGTTCTGTTGCAATATTTTCAGGATCAGACTCAATAATATTAGTAAGAGTTAAAGGTTTAAATATATTTCCTTTTATTTACAATAGGCATTCTATATTCACTGAATATTCACAGATAGAAGCGAGGAAAAGGGTGTAGGTTGCTCCTTATATATACAATGGGTGGAGCTATAAGTGGGAGTGGTGAATTATGAATACATTAAGAAGTGAAGAATAAGTTAACCCCTGATACCCCGTTCATATATTATTTACACATTAGAGAATAAGGCATTTACATCTGACAAATCCCCCTCTAAATGCCGATTCGTTATACAACACCAATTACACTCAGATTCAGGACAATACAATACATACAACTTAGAAGTTAAATATTTGTGTTGCTTAGAAGGTAATGGCTTTGTCAATATGTCAGCTAACTGTTCTGAGGTATCACAATGCACTGCTTTAATAAATCCATCCTGAGATAATTGTCTCACATGTTTAAATTTTATATCTATATGTCTGGACCTTTGTCCAATGGCATCAGATCTAGATATTTCAATGGCTGCTTTATTATCTTCATGCATAACAAAAGGCAAAACAGGTTTTTTCCAAACATCTGAAATTAAATCATTAAACCATACAAGGTTATTTGCAGCTTTGGATAAACAAACATATTCCGCTTCTGTCGTTGAAGTGGCCACTAGTTCTTGTTTACCAGTGTACCAGTAAACTGGACAGTCATTTAAGAGAAATATATAACCAGATGTACTTTTTCTACATGAGGTGTCTCCAGCCCAGTCTGCATCTGCATAACATGTAAGCTTTGGTTCTTTATTGTCTTTAGGTTCTAATATTAAGCAAAAGTCTAGTGTACTTTTCAGATATCTTAAAATTCTTTTAACAGCTTCCCAGTGATACATTGTTGGTTTGCTGACATGTCTGGATAACAGATTGAGTGGTAAGGCGATATCTGGTCTAGTCCAATTAGATATATAAAGAAGTGAACCTATGATTGATCTATAAAATGTGTTATCCTTGAATTCGGGGGAAGATTCATCAGTATTTCTTAGAAAATCAGTTTGCATAGGAGTATCACAAGGTTTGGCATTGTTTAAATTGCATTTATTTAAAAGTTCTACAATCTTATCTCTCTGAGTAAGTTTGAATCCCCTTCTAGTCTTATTAATTTGGACACCAAGATATTTGTTTACTTTACCTAGAGATTTTAACGAGAAATGTTCATTTAGTTTGGTTACAAAGGTTTCTCTTCTCTCTTTATGTTTTCCTATGTATAAAATGTCATCCACATAAATCAATACAAATTCAATGTAATCATCATCCTTTTTGACAAAAAAACAGTTATCAGCAGTTGTAGCGTTGAAGTCCATGGTTCTAAGTACTTTCACTAAACAATCATACCATCGTTTACCAGATTGTTTTAACCCGTATAAACTCTTGTTTAACAACCAAATTTCATTTTTGTTTGTGTATTGACTGTGAGGTGCTCTTACGTATATTTCTTTATCTAGTTTAGCGTGTAGATACGCAGTCTGTATGTCGTATTGAAATACATCAAGGTTGAGTGCTGATGCTACCACTAGAGCTGTTTTGACACTCTCTGTTCTTACTGTGGGGGAATACGTGTCAGTATAGTCCTCCGGATATTTCTGTGCATAACCTTGTGCAACTAGTCTAGCTTTGTATAGAGTATTGCCTCCCTCTAAGTTCTTAATTTTATAT